TCATAACATACAACTGCAGCAAACCGCGGCGGCGCCATAACAAAGCCAGAACTAGACTGTAGCGTGTGGGTTTTCATCCCCTGCTAGATTTTATCACACGGAGATAGATTGTAAGAGGTCTGCATACCAGACGACTCTCCGAGATGTCCATACGGCGGGTCAGCGTATGAGTAATAATAATAATAATAATTATCACAAGTTAAATAAGCTTTAATCTCCTTATTATACCTTTAAAAATATCTAGCCGTTTTATTATATATTAAATCTAATATAATTGAACTGCGATATTTTATTGTATATCGGGTAGAACTTATTGAGGGATTAAATTTATATATCAAAAATAACTCTTATTATAAGCTAAATGTTTAATTATATTCGTAAAACGACATATTAGCTAGGTATTGTATATATTATGGGTTAATCATTGTGATGTTTTTATAAAAAACCTAAAAAAAGTAAGTTGATCGTATTTAGTAATGATTGTTATAATTGATTATTAAAAATTATTAGCTAATAACAATTTAAAATATTACCTTATAGCTTTAACGCTCTTTTTAAAGCGTATACTTTTAATAAAAACGCATGCCGTATAAGTCGAAAAATGTTAAATGATAATGATTTAATGATAATATCGAGGTTATTACCTAAAGTGGTCATAAATATAACGAAAAACGCGTTCAAAAAATGTGATGTTTATAAGTTAGTCGCGGAATTATATAATAACGCGTTAATAAAAATTTAAAGTCAAAATAATCTTAATCCAAATATAAGGATGTACTTTTTACGCTTGTTACGTTTAATACTTGCTGCTTTTATATTAATTAAACTCGATAAATATTATTTTATAAAGATATTATAAAGTTACATAAAAACAAAAATGATATAAGTAACGTAGATGATAAGCCAGCAGCAATTACAAGCAAACGGTAACTTCTTACAAACCTTCCAACCAACATGTCAAATAACTCGATCACAGCGCATTTAATTTAATCTAATCAATTGGATTCTTCTTCTTCAGATGTTTCTATCTCTATTGTGCAAGTTTGCGTATTATGGCCAGTGTTACTGCAAACGCCACAACGTTACTCACGCGCTGCCGCCCTCCTCGGACAATGACTACCTTCACCCATTTCCTGTTTTATTAGCTCATTACTATCCTTTGTAGCCTAAAGACCTATTGTATCTTTAACAGGAAGTATTCCTCCTTTTATTAGACTTATATTTTTTATTTTTTAGTATTCATTATATAAGTGATTGGCCTCTTCCAGCTCGCGGACCTGGGAATCAGCCAAAGCGACCTTATGTATAAAACCGTACGTAGCCTTAAAAACGAGCTCAATGTATTAACTATTGATGTAGGTGAGCTTCCTTGGTGGTTTCTAACTCGATTCCGGATATAAACCAATTGGTTTACCGCTTCATTAATGGTGGTAGGCATCTTTGAAGTCTAAGTAATAGGTGGCAGATTGGGGTCTGGTAACGGTATTTGTATGACAGTGACAGTATCCAGCTTTGAAATGACACTTTCTGGGTCAAAAAGAACAAGCCTAGTAGCACTGAAACTTACTCAAATGTTTCCTAGTGTCATAGCAGCATTATGTACTTCACGAAATGCTGTAAGGAAGTCCTTTTTTAAAACATGGGTTATATAACACCGGATGTGATCCTTAATCATGCAACCGTAAGCTCGTTTGAGCGGGCTAAAACAATTGATCTCTAAAGGCTGGAACCTGTATGATGAGTGAACAGGCGTACAAAGGATAATGATACCATTGTTCTGATAATAATTTTCAAAGACCTGAGAATAGTGGCTTTTGTGGCCATCTAGGATGATGAGGCGTTTACTGGTGGTCATACGCGGTCTGGTATACTTGTTGAAATATTGAATCCATGTCAAACCGATCTCTAGTGTAGTCCATCCGTTATCAGACACAGCCACTTTCTAATTGTGTGGTAATATTGTGTTGTAATACTATGACACGAGGTAGGTTTTGCCCTGTAGAATGATGAACGGCGGGACCACCCAATCATCAGCATTGATAGCAGAGATTGCTGTAGACCATTCTTTGTTGCCTTACTGACCTTGTTTATGCCTGTTATTTCTTTTAGTGCTTGTGATGACCATACCAGACCTAATAATGCCTATCATAAACCCAGTCTTGTCAAAGTTGTAAATGTCCGCGTCTCAAATACCATGTTTTGTGATTGCTGCCACAACTTGGCGAAACCACGCGCGATACGCGTCTGGATTCACGTTCAAGATCTTCTGGTAGTCTATCCTCTGATGAAAACACGTCCGGAGGCCTGGTGCGCGTTTAATGAAGTTCTGCGTCCAGATCTTTCTAACGAGTCCAGCCCCACGTGCCGCCAATAATTGATTTGCTATATCTTTAATATAACTATGCTGGGGTGGAAATACTCGCGTATCCAGGTCAAGAATGAAAGGAAGAATGGCATTCTCTTCAGAAACTGTAAGTTTCAAAGTATTAGGTATGCTATCAGGTCGTGATGGTCGGCCGGCGATTCTAGCCTTTAAGGTATTATATAGGACATAGAAAGTCTTAGAAAGCTTGCCAATAGTAATATGAGAACCGCGTCGTTTAATTTGGACAGCAAGCTGTAAGTCTGATTCGCTACAACGCAATGCAATTATTGTCAGTTGATCAATTAGGAGCCTTAATAAAAAGGTTAGGTGGCTGATGAAAGTTTGCCGTTCGCTTGTAATTGCCGCTCGCTTGTCATCTACGTTAAGTAATAAAATCAAAAAGTAGATAATAATAGATTACCTAGTAAAAAGCTTATAACGTTAAAAAAACATACGATTATTAGATTTATAAGGGAATAAGTTTAAACAAAAAAATTTTAACAGGCACACCTGAGGTAAACATAGTAAATTAATCGGTACATTTTTCTATTGAGACAGTTTGCCTTATGGTCACCCATACATGTGAGATATCAACGCCTTGGATTTTCTTTCACATTGTCCTGAATGCTTCGCAGGCAAGTGACCATACGGAAGTCTAGAGGTCTAAGTAACAATATCTTCTTGGCCCGACAGCATACCAATAGTCGGGGCGCCGCTGCCAAGCGACTGCAATCATCTAAGGAAGACAACCCATCATGGGCATACAACTCGCCCTTGTGCCCTCTCCAGCTCCCCCCTGCTCTGCTACCTGCATAAGAGACTAGGAAACATTCTGGCGCCTGGTTTCGTGCGGCTTTGCTCTATGCTACCCGAGTATGATCTAGACTATTTTACCTTCGCGACTGTTGTGGCGTAGGGGGTTGTATAGTGTAGTGACCACATCTTCAAAGACAAACACTACGCTTTTCTAGCATTCTGATGAGAGAGTGGGATTATTCTCTCAACGGCCTCAGGGGTAGAAGCCAGTCGGGAGACATTAAACAGTGGCAAAACGTCTATTCCATGGCCATGGAAATAAATGATCAAAACAATTGGCGTGCTTCCTTCGCGGTCAGGATTTTGCATCTACTGTGTGAATTTCATACTCAACGTAGGGGTTGAATGGACGCGAGGCTTTCCCAAGTTATCTCGAGGTCAAAACTGCAAATGCCCTCGAGGTGATAATAGAGCTCGGCTGCCCTTTGCATAAGAATCCATGACCACTGATGTAAAGACCATGTTGCCGAAGGTTAATCGGTGTTCCTGTCGAGGGTCATTATGATTGTTATTGTTTTGAGTGGGTGTCTTATGCCGCTTGGATACTACTCTAATGCTGCAGCCTGCTCCGAGGGTGTTCTGGCTTCGCTTAAGCCTATCGAATATTAATAGACTACGCATGAGGCTACAGAGGATGGGAAACCACGCCGTCTCTCATAGGGGCACAACCCTCCCTAGAGGGTTCGGTACCTACCGTGGTTACCTGGACAAAACAGCTACCGACTGAGTCGTCTCTCGATTTATATCTCCACTGAAGGGCAAAGGATTTAGGGGTGTTAACATACCTCGTCTTACTAGGCACCCACTCGGAGCCCCTGTTCTGGTACTCTCATTTTGCCCTAATGAATCTATCAAGTACAGGGCCTACAATCTTGAAGCCAATTTGATGGATCGGGGCAAAATCTCGTATAGGCTGTGAGCTAGCTCTCTCTTTGAACACTGTGTTGACCAAACCATCTCCCATTGCAGATAGCCAGCTGTCAAGAAGGCTAACCTGAAAGCCTCATAAGTCGCGAACTATGAGTTCAACGACGAGACCTTGAGATGGATTTTGAATATGTTGGGGATTGGGTACTGCACAGTCTGAACTGGAACCTGGAACCGGCTGGTTGCTTGATCTCCTTCCATAACACGCGGAGGATGTTCTGCTCCGGGCTGGCTGCCGTCGTGGGGCCGTAGGCTCGTATGTGTGAAAGAAGGTAACGAGGATTATAAAGCAGACAATACAGGGGGTTGCGTAGGAGAGACGCCAAAGGTCCAAGGTTTGGCAGGGAGGATGGTAATCCGGGGTTCTTCTGGCACCAAAATGACAGCATTTTTTGTATAGAACCTGACCATGTACGTGCCCTCGCGAACGGAGGCGTGTTCTTGGATAGAGGCGTCTTGTCGTGAGTCGTCGACATGTCACCTGAATCGGATCGTTCCCATGTCACTGTTGCTAGCCTTTGTTCGTTCGCATATCCATTCGCTTACTGTTAAAACCGAGTCAGCGGGCAAAGCAAAGACGTCAAAGGCACAACTAGGCGCTTCGATCATGGTAAATGATGCCTCAGAAGGGAAAAGCTTTCTAAAGTCCAACCGAGGTTCGAGCCTCGGGCTGCAAGATGCCAGTCCGTCTTGCGGTAGGGTCATGAAGTGTCAAGCAGCAGAACACGGGAACAATGACTTGCAGGGGATGATAGACGGTCAATAGACGGTCGTGAACTCGGGTCTAGTCAGAAGATGATACCGTCGTCACTCCTCACGACAGTTACTTGACACCGAAAAGATGTTATAGTCCAGGTAATGATTCAGCTTATTAATACTCCAATAAGCCTATCTATTGTTCATAGAATTCCTTCACCCACTCGGCCATGTTGGCGACAACATCGTCCGCAATGGCCTTCACTCCAGGGTTGACAGCCCAGTTCTGGCCATAAAAGTCAGAGCAGTGCGTCCCATGCTCAACGACCCGAATAGGGAAGTCGGGTGTGCTCTCCTTCGGTCCGCCAGGGCGGGAGATGGAGCTGAGTGTCGAGTCGCGCCACGGGTCCCACTGGCCGTTGGTCATCATGAGTCTCGTCACATTGCTCTGGTCCTCGAACCAGCCGCCGGTGTACGCATTAACGTCCTCGGCGGACTCGCCGCGGGCGATGCCGTAGCCGGGCTTGGGGAACCACAGCGGGCACTGCGCGCGCCAGTAGTCAATGTTGATCAAGCGGCTGACGAGGGTGGGACGGTCGAGGGGCGCGCCGTCCTGCCAGTACTCGAAGGGCTCGTTGCACAGCATCCAGTTCCACTGCCTGTTGCCCGCGTTGCTGGGCGTAAGGTCGTGGTAGAGCGGGTTGGACGCGTTCAGCGCCTGGAAGCATTCAGTGTTGTAGGTGCCTTCGAAATATCCATAGCTCTCGCAGGCACCAGGGAGCTGAATTTCCTTGAACCACTTGGCGTAACCGGCCAGGGCCTTGGTTAAGCCAACGCCCTCGGGACCGGGAACGGCGTGGGTGGAGTTGGGGAACATGTTCTCGACGTAATCGCAGAACTGGTAGAAGGGGTTGTATCCGATACTAGATTCTGAGTAGAATTGACCTGACTGCCACGACCAAGGGCCGTACTCGAGCGCTTGGGCGAAGTCGGCATCCTCGAGGTCCCCGAGCATAAACTGGTTCTTCAACGCAGCCTTTTGCTTGTGGGTCCCGTTCATAAGAATCCCGTCGACGTACTCGATGACAGTGTTCAAGTCGACACTGCAGTTCTTGGGGGTTGCCTCCTGGACGGGGACGAAGTATTGCCAGAAGTCTCCAATGGCTTCAACCACACCACTCGTACCGTAGATGGCCCAGAACGTGCCGGGGTCCTTGGACGCAATCCAACCTGCCAAAGCTCCGGGGTAAGATCCGCCCGTGTAGATCCAAGGGGCGTCCTTGGCCGTGCTTTTCCCGCTGGAATCGAACGGGGCATCGAAGTTGTTGGCGAAGTAGGTGTTGTCCTTGATGGCGTTGTCGAGGGTGAGGTATTGGAGGTTCTCGACGGTCAGGACCTCGAACGGAGACGACTCGCCCCAGTAGCGGTGCTCCATGATGACCACGGCAGCGCCCATTTGCTGAGCCATGAGCCCGGTCAGGCGCTGGAACGTGGTGTAGGTCACGTTGAACCCATCCGCAGCCTGCTCGCCAGGGTTGACGAAGATAACGGGCGAGCCTGGGCCCTCCCAGTAGGTGGATGAATACCAGTATCGCTGGGCAAAGGTGCCTAGCTCGGGGTTGGAGTGATCGAGCAGCTGGTCAAAGGTGCCCCAACCAGCTGTGCCGTTTGTGTCTGCGGCATCGAGGATGGTGGACTCGTCGATTGGACCAACTTCCATGCCCGGGTTTCGCCTGAAACCAGCAGAGACGCCGGCTGCCAGCAATAGCTGGACAATGGCGAGAGACTTCATCTTGCGGGACGCAGGCGATTGATAGAATATCTGGCAGTGGTAGGAGCAGCGACCTGGTGGTTACTCCAAGTAATCGAGACTCCCGGGATGAGCGCCTAGTCCAGGTAATTACGCCAATTACTGTTCAACCGCTTGCCAAGATGGACGGCAGCAATGACCCCAAGCACCTACCAGGGGAAGGAGAGCAGTTCCTGAAGGCCCCAGGTGAGGCGGCTAACCTTATATATTGAGGACCTGGACCCCGGCGGGCGGAGGACATGCTGACATGGCGATTCGCGGTGAAATAGACAGCGATTCCTTGGTGATCCCAGTCTGTGGCCCCCCGAATTATTGCTTGTTCCGGGTGATTACGCCAATCATGCCGTGTACCGCTTGCCTGGTTGGCTACACACCAGGGGACGACGCAGTGCTACTGCAGCCAGCTTATCTCCTCAGCCCCCCTCTGTCGGCCGCGGCCCGTCCATGCGCAATATCGCGACCTGTGCCGCCTACGCGGCATGGTAGCGACCTGCCGCTTTCTGCTGGTTGATGCGCGCGCCGGGCGCCGCCGACCAGATCATTGGCTGCTGTCCGTGAGATGGGCGGTGCCGATGTTGAGATCCTTCCGCTTTGGGCAAAGGCGAACGGGCCGTAGGGGCGAACCGATCACAGAAGGTGTTGGCAAGAATTGAATCTCATAGGTCAGACGGTGATAACATAAGGCCGTCGCGGTTCATGGATAGACCCCTGGCTGCCCTGGTAGTTCGCCGGAGGGTGAAGTTGTTAACCAATGAAGCATTCCTGTGCCACATGAATCGCCCCATTCCCCCTCATCAGTCATCTGATGAACTGCGGCGAAGCACCAGTGGACCTGGCAGGCAGGGCTGGGGAAATAACCTGATAAGAGAGGTGGATAGGGTTGACCGGCAATACCAGTCAACAATCTCCAAATCATCGTATCTTGGCTCTTGGAATCATGCAGTTGAATGAGACAGGCATGGGCATGGCTGGGTTTGCACATTTTCATTCCCTTGCATGGTAACCAGCGGTAACCTGAGCCTGCCTGAGAACTGTCGTGCGTTGACTCACTTTATATGCTGCCCCACCACTGACCAGATGCATACCTAGTAAGGTATCGAACGGTCCTTGCAGCTGCCTGACAGCTGCCTAAGTGCAGGGCCGCCGCCCCTGTGAAAGAAAACATCCGTGCCCCATCCGAAGGAGGGGATGCACGAGCTGACCCCTTCCCACTTAATAGCGCACCCATCCCACCCCACACTCACAAGTATGAATACTTCATACCCGGTGCATATATGCCGCCCGAAGGCAAGCCATAATGCAAGTTGGCAACACGCATTTTTCATCCGATCTGTTATGGCGATGGCTACACTCTCATTCTCACATCCTCAACCGTCAAGTGGAAGACGTAGGTCTTAAGGTGATGGGGAGGCTTGAAGCATGCACCGTCATGCTTAAGGAATACTATACGGCTTCATTTCAATGGTCGCGATGTACGATGAGCCTGACAACGCTGCCATACCGCCGTCATCTTCAGATGCCTACGAAAAGCCTTTCAGCTTGACGCCTGTAGGTCTCCAGGCGATCTTGAGATGCGATTATTAGGACTTGTTCATATTTATGTGAGTAAAGTACATGGAGTGGAGTTTACACATCCTGCAGACGCGTCTCAGTCCACAAACTGTTCAACCCTGAGCTTCGCATTCAGTTGCATCGTCAGCAGATTCCGACTCGTGATCTCTTCCTTCCTGCCAACGAGCTCCTCGACATCCCACTCGGCAGTCAACACCCGGCCATTCAAGAACCGGGTTCGTGCCGGGTCCGCCACGAGCCACACCATGGTGCTGCCTGTAAGCGCCGGGTCGTTGTAGTTGAAGCCGGCCGCCCGAAGAACCGGTGGAACGATCTCTGTGTCGGTGAGCCCCGGGTTGACCGCAATTGCCAGCACCGTTCCGGCGTACGACGCGGCGACCGTGGTGGTGTAGTGGATAATGGCCGCTTTGCTCATGGAATATGCGGCGAGGAAGGGCCAGATGCCCCAGCCGCTCGAACTGGTCATGTTGATGAGCCTGGCTGGATCACTGGTCGTCGCCCATGGCATCGAAGCTTTGAGGAATTGCTGGGTCATCATGTGGGTGCCTTTGACGTTCACCTCTTGCGGCGAAGGAACATGCGTCAGCACATACTCGGCTCATACCATCAAAGACCAACGGAGGCCGACATCGTTTGGGTATGGGGGAACGTTGCTGATGGTCACTTACAAAGTTTCTGAAGAAGATGTCTGGATCCTGCTCGTGCGTCTTTTCGCTCTCAGTAGTCTCAATGCCAGCGTTGTTGACCAGGATGTCGACCTTCGGGTACCTGGAGTTGATCCGACTCCAAGCACCAGCAACTTGCTCGGCAGATGAGATGTTGACGCCCAACCCGAGGACCTCGACGTCTGGGTTAATATTCTTCAACTCCTGCTCAACACCCTTCACGCTCTCAGATTTCGTGGCGATGAGCACTATCGCCTTGACTCCGGCCCGCACGAAGGCTGGCGCGATACCCCGCGCACCGATACCACGACTCGCGCCTGTCACCACCACCGTTCTCCCCGTGAGAGAGTTTTCCGCTCTGGTTGGGTCGATGGCTGGATAGACATTGGTATGTGCTTTTCGTGTAAACTGCCCCGAGATAACGATCCAGTCTTTCGGAAGGGTCGATAGGTCGGCCATTGTATGGAAATGTTTCAAGTAGTCAAAAACGTGATACAGGGTGGGCTTCGGTTTGGAAAGTTGGGGATAACCAGTAGATTCTAAGACCATGGAGTGGAGGGTCTTAGGGGGTATTTATACTCTATCTCTAGCTAGACATGTGCCTCAATCTGTCGCTCTTTTGGTCAGCTGCTTCAAGAGCTGCGTGCCTCTCGAAAGGGTTTTCTCTATGGCTAAGGAGAGGACCTGTTCGGGCTGTAGACCAAACTTGCCTGTGAGTCATCTCAGCTTAAAGAAATATAGCCATCATTGGTAAATAGCAATTTATTATCTGCTCAGTCTCCCCTAGCTGACAGTCCGACAGCCCGAAATGAACCCCGGCGCCCGGTAAGATCCCGTCACTCCGTGAATCACCGTAATCCGGCGTACCAGTACAATGCGTGGACAAAAGTCTCCGCCCGATCCCCAATTTTACCCCTTCCATCTACTATACCCTCCAACTCAATTGAACCATAACGCATCCAATTCTGGTGATAGAATTCTCAAATAAATTGTATTTAATAACTAAGTCAATAGTGTGTATACCAACCACCGGCGCGCCTCACTGCAGCTATTCGGTCCTCCAGTGACTCCATCAAGGCCCGAACCTGCTCCGGATCGATCTCTGACCACGCCTGCTCGATTAACTCATGTGCGTAGCGATAATAGGGGATATTATCCTTCAATTCAGAAAATTCAGGCTCGATTTCACGTATGTTCTTCTTCAGAAGTCGCCAAACGTGCTCGATTGGGTTCATATCGGGGCTGTGAGGAGGCCAGTCGATACAGTGGATGTTGTGCTCCTCCATCCACTCCGGAACACCGCCAGTGAGGTGAATTTTCGTGTTATCTTGAACAAAAGGATCTCCAGCCTCGTAGAACGGAAGCAGGCCTTCCTTAAGAACCCATTTGTATGACTCTGTGGATACTCCTCCACGCGGAGCATCCGGATTGAGTGGGCAGAAGACCAACTTGCCTAGTCCTCCTTCTCTGCCGTGTAGCCAGATCATAGACCACACCATTATCGAAATACGAGATTTGCCGTGATCCGTCTCGTTCACGAGATCATAACGGTACCGCTCTGAAGAGAATCAGATGGCCCAATTGCCTGGATTATTAGATGAATTTTGGACCGTACATTTGTCTGAGAACATAGCTCGCAACAACTCCTCCAGGTGCTCTGGTATGCTATAATAATTGGCAAAAGCGAGCCTCTTCTGAGCGTCCTCATCTGTGAGCTTGATTTGCTTTGCTGTGCGCCACTTCTGGAGGCTGTGTGCGTGATATATCCTCTTGATAGTCTTGGGAGAGCACAAAATACAGGCTTCGTTTCGAATCTTCTGCCACGTCGCCCTGGGGAGCTTTCTCGCCTTTTTGATCACATGAGCGCGTTCGCGAGTATTCAAAACGGGTGGGCGACCGCTCCTTGGGGCAGATTACGGTGTAGAAGTGGCCTCAAAGTTGGTGGTAATATCAGAAATAGTTTTCAGGCGCTTCGTTTTAAACGCGGTTGCAACATCCCTACGCGTTCTGCCGTCGATGCGTGCCGCCATGATTGCCGAGCGAGCTTCTGAAGTGAATTCGCCGTTAGCAACGCGATTACCGCTTAATTCGTCCCCAAAAGATCGTAAATCCATTATCAATTACGGTGTTGAGAGAGTGGTGAAGTCGAAGGGTGATTGACGCGTTGTTTTGATCTGAAGGAGATTGTGGTGGGTCGGGCGGAGACTTTTGTCCACCCAGTTTAGCAGTCCGGTCCGCCCTGTCAGCTGACCCTACAGACAAAGTTGGTCCTTCAACATACCAAAGGAATCAGGAATGAGCCGTATGAGGAATTATTTACCTTTACGTACCTCACGTCAGAATTCTATGTAGCCTGCATTCTCGTCACCACGTTGCCATCTCGAGAGTTCATCCCATTGAATCAGGGCATAGTAGGCACCATGATTCAGAACGTTGCGAATCCCCCGAATTATGTCCGTCTTGATGTTGACTCGGCGACTTGCAGACCGATGACATCGCATGGATGGGCTCGAAGATCATATCAACGGAATTTTAGAGGGTGACCAAGGAGTCGCTGAGCTGACAGTGCTCCTGGATTCCGGCCCAGCTGTAACCCAAGGGGGCGGGCTCCAGTGCTAATAAGACACTGACGATAGCCATCAATCATGGCAGCACATGCAAGGATACTGAGGAGCGAGCTAGCATCGTGGCTCAAGCTATTGGTATTGCGTGGATGCGCGTCAAAGGCGAAGCAGTCGGAGTACGGATACAACGTCTCTATGACACTGGAGAGAGGAATGTATGAGGGACGCTTGCGCATGCTAGAATGGATTCCTGTCGACACACCCCCCCTCATCCAGACAGGCAGCATCGCTGCTGTGTTTGGTGGCTTGGGTGACTTGCACAGACCTGAAGAATTCTCCGTCCCCAGAACACCACCTGAAAGGAGCCTCTGTCGTTTCCCTCGATCAATCAAATGGCCAACCGCTACTCTCAACCCCCATTGGTATCCCACGAGACTGTAAGAGTTCCGCGATACAATCCACGGTCTATGCGTAAGCGCCGTTGGAAGTACAGTGGCCTAATTTGGTGCCGTTGATCACCACGCGGAAGACATCCAGGACGATGAGCATCAAGGAGAAGACACTGTTGCGGCAGTCAGCATGATCCTGGTGATTCGAAGTCCTGGGTAGGTATTGTACTCACCAGCTGAGAACCACAAACGCCAATTCCGCCCGCGAGATTGTAATGCGATGCCCGAGTGCGGTGTCGTCCAGCGCGTCCTGTACATCATCCGAGCCGTTGTTGATAATGACTGGTTTGGTGTGATCGTTGGGGTCGGAGGCCGATAATACGTATGAGTTGTACTCATGTATCTCCCAAGCACTGTAGTATATGAAACCGATGCCCATGAAGACAAATTGGACGTTGACGATGATGCTGATGCCGGCGATGATGGCCTTTCGCAGGTACCGGGACTTGAATGAGGCGCGGTAGAAGGAGGCTGCTAGTAGTGTCGCGAACCAGACCTGTCTGGTGTCAGTTGTGCGTGCAGATCACATGGATGGGTGGGTGTATGCGTGTACGTACCAACGTGATACCGCTGAGCTCGTAGTAGCTAGAGCCGCTGAAGAGAATTTCGGAGTGAAGTGAGTGTGCGAAGTGGGAAAATCCGTAACCACTGGCTACGAGCAGGCCGAAGTAGCTCAGAATATTGAGGACATAACGTTAGAGCAGTCGTGCTGACCACGAAGACGCCATGGTGTATCAATGGTGGTTGTTCAGACTTGATTGTTACTGAGCAACAGTAAAGGAACGAAGCTTGCGAAATAAAAGTAGATGGAGCGTTCCTGGAAACAGGACAGAGGCCCCGCTGTTTGTCTAAATATAATGAGCTGAGTGATGTGTGACGCCATGGGGTCCTTCCTGTTGGCTCCCACCACTCAGCCTTGGGTGCGGCACAGCAAGGTGCCTTGCTAGAGGCTGTGTCCACGCGCCGATTGGGTCTGGGGAAGCAGCAGGGGGCCACAATCATCAGCCGATCGGTTACATTTCAGGACTATCACGTTCCTGTGCCGCTGTCGCGCCTGTCTCACCTATTTCTCATGTCCGGGTTTCATTCCTATTCGCACTTTTACAGCCCGAAATCTGACATGTAACGAAGCACGTTGCCTGAGAGACTATTGCCGACTCGAGCTGGCTATCTGGCCGGTATTTCTACACGATCTTGTCACCAACGTTGGATTCGGAAGACTGCCAAGAAATTAGATTCTGGCATCTTGGCAAACGACCCCCTTATTGGGCTGGAGGCTGGTACCGCTCGACATGCCAGATGGAAGATCTTCCAACCTGTGCTTATACGGCACAGAACGCGCTGTCCCTAGGAAACTGCGCTTTCAACTTTGAACCTGGATACCCCACGACCTGTAAATCGACATTACCAGGTATGCATTGTCACCGCTCTCAATGAAGTGAGTCCTACCACAGGACGATTGGCCTCGTGTATGACGTATATTGATATTTACGTCGAGTAACATTCTCTTACATCACCTAAATATCATACTGCTTCGTTGCTTTTGAATATGTCGTTGAACCATCTCTGAGCCTCCTTCGTCGCCCGCTCTTCCACACGATAGCACACCCTCGTTGCGCCGAAGCCGCAAGTCCGGCCTCATAGAATGCACAACGGAGGCTCCTGGGGACATCTCAAGTCGGTATATCTTCCAAGAGCTTACTGTTTCGCCTAGTTGGAGGGATGATGGAGTGATGATTTCAGAAGGCGTCTCCATAACTCTCAGGTCGCGAACGATTTTGCACTCCTTATCTCTGTTCAGAAAGATGGCTTTGTGAGCTAACATATGAGCCTCTCTCATACGGCGTTGGGCATTGGCCACCTGTCTGTGGTCCAGCAGGGCTTGAACCAATTTATTAATGCATATTCTCAACTTCCTATCAGTCGCTAGATGTAACTCTTTCATTCCTAAGTAGTGTGGTTCTCGTTGCCTTGCACTAGAGAAGGTGTTCTGATATGTGCGTCTACATCAGTGGCTTGGTAGTGCTCAGCCTCTTGTAACTCTTGTTGTAACTTCCGTCAGCCAACAGGGCAGCCTCACTTCTTGAGCTCAACAGGCTATGTCTTGCCTTGAATTTGTCTGGCGCCTCCTGGAAATAATAGTGGTTCGCACTGGCTGCATAGGCGATCCTGAACGGTGCGGTCATCTGGTTCTTCTCCGGTCCTCCACCGCAGCTTCCCCGTAGCACCTTGCTGGGCGGTGAGTTGATGGCCAGTGCGATCATGTTCTGTGGTTTGATATAGTCCGTTACTCTTCCCCTGAACTTGATCAAGAGGAACGCACAAAGAACATTGATCAAGAAGGTGAAGAGCAGTACGGGCCCGAATACAGCGGCTTGAGCCCAAGTCATTCCCGAAGTGTACTCTACCCTTCCTACTCTAGCATCGAACCATTCGTCCATGGGGGCTGGCTTGAATGTTTCATTGTAGCTGGTGGCGCCCCCCCAATAATGCTTAAAAGTTGCTTGTATCGAGCCAGTGACCACCGAAGACGATGAAAGCACCGCAAGGGCCTCAGCTATAGTGGGAAGTGATTCGTTCAACGATGGCTCCCGGAGAACAAGGTGTGTGAATATACGCGCGTTGGATGCGTTGTTGTTATATTTACCTCCACCCAGGTCCATGCTCGTCCACCATTGCGCAGCGAGGTGGCGCCAATCTGAGGATGGGTTTGGCTCTAGCGCGTCGCCCTTGAGCTTTTAGAAGTCTTTGTAAGATACGCCATCGTCGGAGCTTTCTTTGTTACAGACAGCAGTTATTGTTGCGCCTGTAGATCCGGTAATGTTATATTCTGTATAACAGAGCGGCGAGACCCAGGATTGAAACTGGCAGAGAGTGAAGTCATCGATCAATCCTGATTTCGCGAGGAAGTAAAGTGTATCTGACGGGCCTATTTCGTCATTCTTACCCATATTGGAACTGTCGTTAACGACCATGTTCCAGTCGTTCGGAAACTATAGCAGAAAATGTTAGCCAATTCATTCGTTTCATTTGATCATCTGCTACGTACCAACTGAAAGCTTGGCGGCCAACGGCCATATTTGCTGCCCCATTTAAAGACTTCGTCCACCGCCGTCTCATTGAGCCAGTCCGTCTTGCTTGCAACCGGGACATCTGTTTGCCAATCGTAGGCGCCAATCGTCTGTCCCAGAACCTCTGTGTCTTCCACTCGGGCTCCCGGCCATGATGTATACACCAGTGGGTCCAGTTCACTTCGTTCCATGTTGGCACATAACACGTCGACAGTAGGCGAGACGACACTTGCGCGCAGGACAAAATACGTTGGATCATCGTCAGTTGGCAGGGGTATATGATTCTACTTCTTGGTCAGCATTTACCAGCCAGTATCGTAAGTGACCGTTTCTTAACATTCATCAGGTGTCTGAGAAGCGTGGGTGGATAAGTATTTGTTACAAGAAATTGCAAGCATATTCCGGAAGTCCAGTTCAGGAAACGACTTTGATACTCACCCGTGTGTCTTTTGGCGCCTCATGAATTCCAGGGTGTGGCATCGCAAGCCTCGCTTGATGAATGAGCCTATCGTGATCTGCGAAGTTATTCGTCACATTCCCAAACTCGGCATCAAGCCATGAGGATGTCAATGTTGTGTTGTCGAAGAGATTATGCCTCCTTACCGGCCTATTGTGAGTATCAAGCAAGGTGTCATTCACCATTCCCGATGTTGATTGGATATCGTGTCACTCTTTCCTGTCACCGGTTAATATCTTGAGACATGCAGACCACCGGAGCGCCCCGGGGAGTTGCTACATACATAAAGCCCATGAGGTTACGATAAGCTGCAGGTACGGATTTAAGATCAAACCACTTTTGCTAAGTATTGGCGACGGGAATATATGACTTACATTGGCCAGCAAATTGGGCGTCGAGGCAGGATCCGGAAGAGCTGTTGAAATCCAGACCTTGGTCGATTGGGGGGGTTGTACAGGAGTCTCGGATGAGATAAACGTTGGCATAGCTCGCCGTTGCTGGCCCCGTAACGTTCCTATATATCAAACATCTTGGCCAAGCGGGCCTCGGGCTTACCACAGCGTCAGATGCAGGGATGTATGTCAATGCGCAAATAGCAGAGATCATGGCTACTACGCCCAGTTTGGTTCTGATTGGCTGAGGCACGGTTTCCCAGTGGGTGAACATGGTTCCCGGTTGCTAATATTTCCCCCTTTTGTTAGCACTCATTCCCAAAAGGCCTTCAAAAGGCCTTACTTGGTTTCCTGCTCACAAGAATCCAATTCCTTAATGACATCTCCGCAATGCTTATACCCTTGGATTCCTTCGCAAAAGCCCTCCTGGTGAGAACCTGACCGATGCATGTGACTGTAACCGTGACGAACGATATCTCGATCGACTTGGCTCCCACAGTGGCAAGTAACGATGCGCTTGCGGGTGTCAGCCAAGCCGAACCCTGACTCGATGATATCTTGTCTCCGTATGGGATGCCGATACAAGCCGCAAGCAGCCACAACAAGCTCAATGCTGTAGACCACACGGATAGGATGATAGGTATGATGAACCCCCAGCTCATTCGCCGAACATGCACATCCTGTTTCGAATGGCAATTTGTGGGCGGTTGAGCATACTGAGCGAGCCAGTCCTTTTCGCGCCGAAAGGCACTTGAGTATTCTTCCGGCGGCTGGAGCGTATTGCCCTCGAGGCTCTGCAACGAATTCGCCCTGTTCATTTGCGAGAGCTCGTCAACAGACTCCAGGAATCGGGATTGCCTTGGATTTTCCGACACCGGTTTGAGGGAGGCAAGGTCGGCAAGTTCGTCCCCATCCTCGTCTGGCCAACTTATGCGCACGCCTGGACGTGCACTGGTTGGGGGAATGACCTCCGTGTACGAGTCGACAAGGTCGCGCTCTTCGTTGTCGGACACTTGGTTGTAACCCTTGGACATGCCGAAACCCGGGATAAACAGCCGAGGAACGCCATTTGCTTCTGCGGTCCGCCTTTCGGACTGTTCCGGGTCGGTCGCCATCTTGAAGAGAAGGTACTGAAGCCGGGGTTCGCTCTTCGCCGGTGTTAGTCCACTGTGAATGTGCAGACTGGGGGAAAGGAGCAAGGCAATTGCTATGCAGCGGGAAGCATGGAGGGATTGATCGGAAGGATGGGCCGGTGTGTATGAGACATGAATTGCCAAATCCGATTTCGCGCCGGTCCGGCTTCGTTGAGCTACCCGGAGAGACAATGGAATGAATCTTACTTACCGCCAATCTAGTGGATGGCGACGTGGACAAAGGGCTATCCGGTTTCGCTCCAGTAGGTGCTGATTGACAAAGCAACCGTGACCTTCGTCAATTCGGTTGCATGACGCCTGTCCCACCTCTGACAAGTCACAACTAGAATGAATGTGTGCAGATACGGGAGTTTGCTGTTAGGGCGACCTATTGACAAGTAGACTATGTTGAATGGCACGCAAGCCACCGTGGCGACAAGGAGGTGGCAGTGCACTGATCAGGGGCATTCTAGGGCCACCTAGCCACCAACAGAGACTTCACAACAACAAGATCATCAAAGCCAGCACTAAATACACTATTATCATCTATATGAACCAACTACGCAGTATTTGACAGCCTATTCATTATTCTAGGCCTCATACTTTTCTCGTCATTTCTTAAGCTCGCGAATCTTGGTCATGGAGATGGACTCCATGGTCTGAGAGAGCACCGATGCTAGTTGCGCTATGGTATTAAGCGTTCGCGAAAGAAAGTCAGTATCGTGGGTGTTGGACAGAAATCAAGAAACAAATATGCTGCCAGCGGGCTTTGACCTTTATGTTAATCGTCCATCACTGCCTGGCTGACTGGCCCCTGTCTCGACACCGCTCATTAACGGGCCCTTGCTCCTGGCAACAACGCCGCCTGGAGCTGAGCCAGGGACCAATAACGGTGAGCGCGCATAGGATCAACAATTGGCCAGAATCTATTTGTCCTTCACAGACCATTCACCCAGCAGAGACGTGTAAATCAGGCGGGGGTATCAATCCAAAGTATCATTGTTGCGAGTATCTCGAGGCTGGTGTTCCTCGCGAGGTTCGTGCAAAGGTGAGAGATATGGAGCCTGGCACGGCAATATCACGGCTTGCAACTAATGCGTTGGTCCCTGCACTGTTCTGGTGCGCACTACTGTCAGTCTTGAAAAAATAAGCATCAGACATGACTCTCCTGTGACTCTGATTTGAGAGGCAAACAGTAGTCGCATACGAGCAAGCGGGCCAGGTGAGACGGTTAGCACCTTAGCACCAATTGAGGTAAGGTGTCCTTCCGGCAGCCTAGGGGGCTCATCGAGGTATGACTTCGTCACTAGTCCTTCTATACATCCGATATTACTCATAACTTAGTCTCCATCTATGAGCAAAACAGGCTTCGCCTTTTGCTACGTTGTGGGCCCTGATTCCGAAGTTTTCACATTGGAGGCATTTCAATGGAAGTTTACTTGGCACTATATCTAGTTCATTCTTCCACGGCCACATCAAATCAACTCTTGCTACTTTACCTGAGCTTGATCGTAAGGTTATGTGTTACTGTACTATGGGTACAACGACTTATGTCATAGAGGACCAGTACTACATATGGCAAACAGAAGTGTCAGAGGTATCTAATCCTACTCGTTGCCTAACTTACATATACACAAATTAAATCAGATTTCCATTTTATATATATGCCAACCTACATTTCATACACGTATAGGTAGTGCAGGGTCAAGCCGGGGCTGTGCATTTCGTATGTCGAGAAGAAGACTTCCTCTCAAAGCACGATCGTTCTTGGACGTGCAGGTTCGGGCACATAAATGCGTTGAGGCTGGCTTATACTATTTTGGGCCTAAGTGGATGACGATATTATCTTCTAGAAAGAAGAGGGCTCTTGGAAGGACAACTGAATGCATTTTTGATAACATTGAGTTACGGGATGATGCTGATGAGATTGTCCCTATTCAAGGGATACTTGAAAGTTATTCCAGTAAATATACCGTGGTACAAGCAGAGACGTTGGTCGCTACGCCAGCAGACATGAGCTGCAATAAGCAAGGACGAGGTGTGTATCTGCGGTTGCTCAGAGACAGTCGATGGAGGTGGGGCCCTCCCAGTGTTGGATCAAAATATAACGAGGGGTCGCAACTCTTCACGCCAGGCACCTATCTTCTTCACCTCCATACAAACTCTTCTTCCACCACCACTTTGACCCTACCACGGGTTTTACCATTGTCGACACGCATCATCATACCCAACGTACGCAATGGCTTCCAGCAAAGAAGGAGAAGATTATATCATGTATGACATGAATCAAGCCGAATCCGACATATTCGACAAAGTCCTGGGCAACCAGGCAATTACCAGCGCTGAGCTCGCCACGGTAACTCACTACGTGCAGTGTAAGTTGACCTCGGACTGCTGGCACGAGGGGAACGTGTATACTGACTTAGATGCTCGTACAGCGCGAACACACAGTCTGAATACAATGTTGGGTCTGGCCCAAGGCCTCCACGCGCCCGAACTTCGGAGTAACGGAGACGACGAAGACGACGATGGCGACTATGATGACGATGACGACGACGATGTCGCTCCCAAGCCTGTCCTCCCTGCCGCTCCCGTTGGTCAGATCCCCGCGTTCGCCATCGAGGCGGCCAAAGACTTCGCCAACCGCGCTCACGTTGTGGTCCGGGCCGACGACCTCCCGGGGCTTCAGTGCGCCCACCAGGGGTGCTCCGTCGTGACGAACACCGCCACGCACGTGAAGGAGCACGAGATGGAATTCCATCTCGGCACGTGCTTCTGGGACGGCTGCTTCGCGCAGTTCGCCACCGATGCCGGGCTCTTGGCGCACTTCGCAGAGCATTTAGCCGCCGCCGCGCCCCTGGTCGAACAGGGAGGGAAGCTCGTTTGTCCGTGGCCTGGTTGCGTCGGTTTTGGTGAGCCTGCCTGCACCGCGGGCTACAAGGATTCGCGGGCGGCTCGGCGCCATGCCAAGCACCACCAGTACGCCATGTTGCAGAAGACCCTGATAAATTTCAGGGCCCTGGCTTAAGTGCCGACGGTAAGCATTTCACGCCTTTCCCCTTGTGATACTGTTGAGCTAACGTGTGACCAGCAGACGACGAAGCCGACGAGGATGAAGACAAGGACAAGGACAAGGACAAGGACAAGGCCGACGACGGCGACGACGATGATGAGAATGCCGGGCCGTCCGGAGCTCTGCCTTTTGGGGCATCTCTAGTGTGGAGGCTTTGGTGCTCGCTTGGTGGTCTGTCCGGGGGTTTCGGCTGCTTTTTTTCGTTCGTTTAGTTGTGTGAGAACGAGCCCTTCGGGATCATGAATAAGAGAAGTGGTGTTCTGGGTTGGCAAGACATAATCTTTGGTGCAGCGGACTTCCACCGCCTGTGACCTTGCTGCGCGTGAAGTCCTTCTGTCGAGCCTTGCGTAAGGGGCTGGACAAGTGGCACCACAGATGGACAGCCTCGAAGTGTTTGGCAGAGCTTTGTGACACGGAACCCTCATAAGTCTCGGTACACCACTCGCCTCAGCAAACCACGGCATATTTGTCGATTTGGAACAAGCACACTGGAATAAGCAATAAAGGTAGTGTATCAAACCAAAGCTGCTTATTCCTGTATGCTTATTCCAGTACCACGAAACTTCCCACTGATCGTGCGCGTGAAGTCCTTCTGTCGAGCCTTGCGTAAGGGACTGGACAAGTGGCAGCACATATGGATACAGCCCCAGAGCTTTGTGAGGACCTTGAACACCTCGAAGCCGGCGACGTCACGGATCTTGTCTTTGCCGTCGTTCGTGCCTGGCAGTAAGTTATGATAACTCGCGGGCCGCTTCATCGGCCTCCACAACCGAATTGATGCACTGGGTCCCGCTTGAGAGTTCACTCTACAGCTCCGGCCTATTCAGGCAGACCAAGCACGAATGCAGCTGCGTAGCGACGCTGCTGGACTACAGTGGTCCGGCGGTGGCGGTAAGCACTGCCCCTGACCGTCCGTGAATGCAAGATTCGGTATGTGCCGGCCATGCTGCGCGCCGATTTCAGTTTGAGACACCTCGGACGAGTCTACCCGAAATCACCACCGAACTTGGTGTTGGGTGGCTGGCATTGCCGTGCCGGTGCCGCACTTGCGGTGGCCTGGGCACGTCGAAGAGTGTCCACTTGGACAAGCATCAGGTAAGTGCGTGGGGAAGAAGATGGGATTCAGCAGTGTAAAGCCATGGTAAGGTTAGCCCGTGGATGGAGAATGCGGTTGAGAATTGCCAAAGACGAACTGGCAAGCGCAGCAGGACCACCGGGGACGCGCATCGCGTCGGCAACCCCTGACCCGCATCACCCCCTCGATCTGTGGCGTGGAGCCTGCGCGGTGCTCGGGTGGGTACTTCCGAGAAGGAGTTTCTGAAGCGATATTTTGGGGCTGAGAAACGAGATCGAGGCTTGACGTTGCTAGAGCACGGCGAAGAGGTGGTGCTCGTGGACCGCAGGGGGTATGGTGTGGAAAATTGCGCAGTTCGCTCGACTCATACGGGGTGCGGTGACTACGGCATCGTGCTGTCTGCAAACTATGTCTATGAGGTCAAAGAGAGGAGGTCAGAGTGTTCTTGGAGTCCGACATGTGCCGCGTTGTGCCTGCTGATTGATGTGCCCCAAGGGGTCGAAGTGGTCGCCAGGGTTCGTGTAGATGATACGGGATTTCGAGAAGGCGCCGTGGAGACATCAAGATGGGTATGCAGCTGAGATGTCAAGGGGGGAGTTAGACGCATTGCCTGACTTCATGTCAAGTGCTTTCACTCAGGGGTACTGAACTCTGAAGCAAGAGTCACGACAGACTTCACAGGCTCCGCAACCCAAACTGCATTCTTCCTCACACTCATCCCATCGCCGGTGTCCAGGGAATCACCAACGCTACGGACAATGGTCGCTTGCAGTGTGCTACAGGACTCGATCAGGGCCCCCAATGAACTCGTATTGTAACGAACGACTATGAATGTTATGCTACAGTCTACCCATGTTGCTTCCCCCCATCCCCTTCATATCAGCGAGCGAAGTTGACATTCCACACCCCCCTTCCAAACGCGGAGGCTGCCCCGTACACAGCTGAAGTTATGCCTACGCATTGACGCAAGGCTTGTCGCAGTGGGCAATGTTCTTAGTCTCGGCCTCGTTCAAGCACTTGCCGCTGCAAGCGCACGCGAGCATGATGCTGGACGGCTGTTTGTCCATGCAGAGGTAGACAGCCTGGTCGGGGTCGGTCTTGGGTTTGCTGCCTGCGCAGAGCTCACCGAGACCGCTGCAGTATGCCTTGCTGACGTCGCTGGGGGCGAAATCTGCTCATGTCAGTTAAGGGTTCGATGGGCTGTCATGTACCGTGGGGAGAGAGAGTGCTATATGAAAATTGGGAAACGTACCGTGACCTTGCTGAGAGAGCATGTAGCCGCAGTAGGTGTAGCCGAGGCCGCAGTTTGCTCCAGGTCCGGCTCCAGTTGGGGCTCCAGTTCCGTTGACGGAGCCCGTGGGTTGCGGGCCAGTGATCGTAGTTGACAAGGGGACAGGGGCTAATGCAGACGAAGGTGGTGCAGGAGCGACTTCGTGATATCCCCTCCTGGCAAAGGTAGCGCCAGAGAAGAGGGCAAGCTGAAGCAGTAGGAGATGGAGCTTCATGGTGAAGACTTGGCGATGGATTGAAGATTGGAGAGTCAGTGATTGAATGCCTGCAGATGATAGAAGTCCACTGAAGTTGTCTTGATACTGTAAAGCTCATATGAGCTAGCAGGCCGATGTTCGCGGTTTTATAGACATGATCCAGGAGGAAAAATCCAGGAAGAAAGCGTCGCAAGCGTCAGCATGTGTTCAGCCATGACTGACGCCGACCATGGGTCACAGGTGACGACGACGACTCGATCACGAGCCGGGTCGCAACAAAAGCTTGATACGTCCTCGTAACATGTCCGGTAGAACTGAATCCATACCACAAGAGGAAATGCGAGGCGAGATATCAGTTCACGATGTGTTGTTGTTGCCCTGGACGTCGACCGGTAGTAACATACCTCTTCCAATCATTTCTTCAGGAACGGCCATAGTGCACGGTTCCATATTGAGTCTGCCAATATCTGAGCATCGTGTAGATCCCGAACGACAGAGTCGAGGACGTGTCCAGACCAATGGAAAGGGCCAGAAACCTCGTTGGTGTCTAAAAACGTGACACACGTGGTCGACACACTCGTCCAATCATGAGTCAATGGGCCGAACGCAGCACCATGGGCACGCACGATGGATCTTAACACGGGAAGCCACTTCAACATCGCCAGGGCTAGATCGAGTCCTCCCGACCCTAGCGACTAGGTTTGTGACATTGAGACACAGATGACGAAGCATGCTCGCGCTTGTATTCTGGACTGACGTTCACCATATGAGGAATAAGACCAAAGCTTTGATATGGTGATGCCTTTGCTACTCCCAATTGGCTTTCTTGGTGTATCGCTGCTGTCTGCTCCGTCCATGGAGGGTGACCGCAGCGCAGCCGGGCGCCCCGAGCCTCTCTCGTGTATCAGGATAGCAAAAAGCAAGTCTCTCGAATTCGAGCTTGACACAATTGCCGGATGAGAGGACAGGTGAGAGGGGAAGACGAGTACTGTGCGCTTCGTGCGATCAGCGACGTAAATTTGCGATTAAAGGGGAGCTCCTTATTTGTCGATGAAGCAGGACCACCGTCATCAGGAATTATGCCTCGCCGGGAGTTAGGAGAGATGTTCGGAGAAAGCCTCTGAGACAGTCTCAAAGGGGCGTGGCGGTGACCATGCTCAAGCAATCGACAGAACCGAGGCTATCATAGAAACAAACTCATTCCTGAAAGAGCTTTGATTTGTGTCCAAGGAACGAGTGATATGATCCAATGGCAGATGTCGTCGATCCTACGGTGGCTTGATGCAAGATGCAAGATGGCAGATGCAGGCCGATGACAATTAGGGGTGGACATGCAGGGTAGCTCCTGCAGGCGACGGCAGGCACGGGTCGCAGGCACGGGTTAGGCCGTTTCCTGAGCCCCGCGCAAAAGTTGGCAACTCCGAGTCTCGCACCACATCGTTCGTGCCATTCCACCCTCGCTGTCCTCCAAGAACAACGGCGGCAAAGCCATTGTGATCATACGTATTGCCAATTCGAGTCTAACGAGCACGAGAAGACCTGTTTCGACCCGATACTCGGCCTTTTCTGGGCTGTACAGCGCATTGTCCTACCACCACCAACTTCACCCCCTCCTCACACGCACCACCGGTCACCTCACGAGCCGCCGCAATGTCGACGCCAGCAACCCAGCCCGTAATAACGCCGTCAAGCTCGCACACTGACAAGCCGACAGTGCGGGTCGGCACGCGGAAGTCGGCGCTAGCCATGAAGCAAGCGGACTTCGTCGTGACGTCGCTGCAGAAGCTGCACCCGGGCATCAACTTCGAGATCAAGGGCATGCACTCGGCGGCCGACAAGGACAAGATCACGGCGCTGTACAAGTTCGGCGGCAAGGGCCTGTGGACGAACGAGCTGGAGGCGGAGCTCATGGGCGGTGCGCTCGACATGATCGTGCACTCGCTCAAGGACATGCCGACGGGGCTGCCCGACGGCTGCGTGCTGGCCTGTGTGACAAGGCGCGAGGACCCCCGCGACGTCGTTGTCGTCAAGGGGGGGCTCGAAAACAAATACAAGACGCTGGCGGATCTGCCGGACGGCGCCGTCGTCGGCACCAGTAGCGTGCGGCGCATGGCGCAGATCCGGCGCCGGTACCCGAAACTGCACTTCAAGGACATGCGGGGGAATATCGATACGCGCATCAAGAAGCTCGATGCTGAGGATAGCGAGTTTAGCGTGCTGATCCTGGCGGCGGCGGGTCTGCTGCGCATGGGCTATGATGCGCGTATATCGCAGTACCTGGAGAGCGGAACGGAGGGCGGCGGCATGCTGCATGCGGTCGGACAGGGAGGCCTGGGTATCGAGGCCAGAGCGGATGATACACAGACGCTGGAATTGCTGAAGGCGCTTGAAAGTGAGGCGGACATGCTGGCGTGTGAGGCGGAGCGGAGCGTCATGCGGACGCTGGAGGGCGGCTGCAGTATTCCTATTGGGGTCGAGACGAAGTGGGTAGGGGAGAACAAGCTGCGGTTAACGGGGACGGTTGTCAATGTTGAGGGCACGGAGGCTGCTGACGCGGAGGGCGTCCAGGAGATCAAGACGAGAGAGGACGCCGTCGAGTTCGGCAAGTTGGTGGCGCAAAAACTGACCGACAATGGGGCGCAGAAGATCCTCGATGTCATCAATGTCGACCGCGAGGCCAGCCGCGAGAGTGCTGAGGCCTGGATACCGGCGTAGGAGGGATCCTCACACATGGCGGTTGGGACATCGATACGATGTGACGAATATGCATAGATGAATGTGGCTGCCCATGGTTATAGATCTTTACCGCGGGGCTTTTCTCACGCCATAGTGTACTCAAAATACGCACGCGAGTTTATGACACAAGGTTGAGCCCGACCTCTTCTCTGTTGAATTCTCACTGCTGATACTGGACACGACCTCCCGGATTGCCTCTGTAAGCCACATATGCACCCGTCACAAACGACTCAATGCCTCCAGCGTGCGCCCATTCGATGCAAAGAACAACGCGGAAAGCCTGCGGCGAACCAAACCAAACCAAACCCCCTCTCTGGCGGAAGTATTCGTTGATCTAATGCTCATCCGACCCGGTGAAGGCCTTGTACTCCTCCAGGTCCATCAGGGCCTCGAGGTCCTTGTTGCCCTGTTCGCCAACAGAAACCTTGGCGATCCAGCCGCCGCCGTGGGAGTCGTCCTCGGGGACCTGGTTGATGGTTCCGGGCTTCTCCTCGAGCAGGGCGTTGACGGCGGTGACGGTGCAGGCGAGGGGCGCGTTGATGTCGGCGGCGCTCTTGACCGACTCGACGGCTCCCAGGGTGTCGCCCGCGGCCATCTCCTTGCCTTCTTCCGGCAGCTCGACGTACACCACGTCGCCCAGCTCCTCGGCCGCGTACGTCGAGATGCCGATCACGCCCGCTGTCTGGTCTGCGTTCAGGTCGATCCACTCGTGGTCTTTGGTGTATTTGCGGATGTCTCCTGTTTTTTTGCCGGAGCGGTTAGCGATTGCGTTGTTGAGGTGTGTGTTGGTGTTGGTGTTGCTGCTGGGCGCGACATCGGAGGGAGGTGAAACCTACTTATCGGGGAGACAGAGAATGCTCGCGCTGCCGGGGCTTGCCAGTTGGAGGAGCGCACGCAGGGGGTTTGGGCGAGGCGTGAGATGGTCGAGGGGCGAGCTGCCCGCAGGCACCGCGCAATTGAGGCCATGGTAGAGGACGACGGGGTGGCGAATGCGTGTAGGCGGGAGGTGTTGTTGCAGTCGCGGAGGTGGGAGATGCCTTTTTGACGCAAGCAAGCTGCGAGCTGTGATAGTGATGGCACGATTCCAGTCCGCTCGGTCGGTATCAGTGATGTCGGGTGCTGGGGCCGATAGCTGCCGATGGTTAACAGATACACACTGTATAAACATGCCTGTTTGCTCGTGTATACACAGTACGAGCACAGTCAATGGGAGAATCATCAATGTCAGCCAATCGTTGCTTCGGGATCAGCCCCGCGTCTCCATCACAGCTCACCTCCCCTGACTCCTGACTCCTGAAAGAGTCCAAACCCGAAGAACCAAAAACCCAGAAGTTGATATTCACAGTTCCTGGCTCAAACATGAACGATGTATTGCAAGCTGTGCCTTCTGGTCACTGATTCAGATAACTTCAGAGAGTACATCCAGTACCTAGTCACTGTTCCGTGGTGATAGTAGGCGTGATAATGATAGTAATGGCTGCTACCCCTCCCCGTATCAATCGGACAGAGAGACCCCTCAATCCTGGGTGTTAGCCATGGAAACCATTTGCCTGGTGACAAACCGGGCTGTATTGCAATACCACTCTTCCTGCATGAAGCTTCGAATCCGCGACAGCGATGATGCCTCACTCGGGTCACCTTTGCATGTCTCTGTTAATTGGTTTTCTGGAGCGCGCCCGACGGTAAGGCCAGTTTCAGATCCGGCCCCAAAGACTGGTGGATCGTCTCTAGAAGGTAGTCCTGCATCACGGATTCGCGTGTGTGTCGCGTCTTGTTGTTTTCTGATGAGCTGGCCGTATTGACCTTTTGGCCTAGACGTGGCCCTCCCATTCGTTGCATCACTGCCGGCGCCAAACCCTGACTCGAATCAGCTTACACGACACAACTGTGAGTCCTCTTCTTCGACAACCCACCCTGTGTCTTTAAGCCGCACACAGGTAGGCATTCCATAAATAATCCCTACTGCGAATCGTCGACGCCTTAAAAGTTAGATCCGGGCCGGTGAAGTGCATCTACTCAACCGCCAACGATCCACGACAAACACGTTGAAGTGCCCGGCTAAGACATTCTATACTTCTAGGCCAAAGCGCATATCTTACTGTAGAGTGTGTGTGCCTTGTACCTGGTTGTCGATTAGCCCGTCGCGTTTCTCTTCGCGAATCTGCTGGTTCAGACAGTGAGTTCAGAGTGGGGCACTTTTATCAACTGTACTGTACCTGTCTGGCATCTGCCCGTGGACCCTCCACCCTCTTGCACTTGCACGGGGTTCCCGCATCACAATCCCATTTTACCACCTACCTACGTTTGGTTTCCAGGTAGGTACGCAGAAACCGTCCATCTCGTGTCTCTCTCTGCAGGCACGCATCCTCCAACAACCCCATTCAACCCCTGTCCCCTTTTTCGATCTCTCGGCCGTTTGCCTCGTCCTGTCTCGGGAGAAGCGCCCCTGGCAAGGCAACTCAGCGGCCCCATGGACGGCCACAGCTGAACCGCCTCCTATCGATACGGACCACCGCAGCTGACCCAAGACAGCACGCAGTCCAGAATACGCGCCGAACATTCCTCGCTGTTCGTCCACGGCTTCATTGCCAATCCCACCAATATTCCATGCAGCCGCGCACCGCCCTAAACTGAGACTCCCCGCCCACCCACCCACCTGACTTGCTGCCCGTGCTGCGCAGTTCGACGACTCGACAGCTCTTGAGTTTGCCTACCCTGTCCGACCTCCCATCCTGGATTCGTCAACTCTCTCAGCGGGGTCTTCGGGCCAGTTTCACGACGCCTTGGACACAATGGAGCAAGATCCCGCCGGGACCATGGCTATGCCCCACGACGGCCTCGACGACACCCTCGGTGGCATTGAGGGCTCCCCGAGGCTCGATTCCGGCGAAAATGGCCACGACACACACCACCAACAGCCACAATCTCTCGACCAGGACATGGCTAGCAGCACGCATCCGGATGGAGTGGATGCTAATGCTCGATACGATAGCCCTCCTGTGCAATCGCAACCCTCGATATCCAGACCGCCCTCGGGCCTTTCCGGTGCTGGTGGTGATAGACACGCAAGCCACAGTGACAGAGGCAGCAATGGAGCCGACCAGAACAATGCGCGCAACCAGGTCGTCATAAAAGTTGGCATGGTGGGGGACGCTCAGATTGGCAAGACGTCACTGATGGTAAAATACGTCGAGGGCAGTTGGGACGAGGACTACATCCAGACACTAGGCGTCAACTTCATGGAAAAGACGATCAGCATACGCAACACCGAAATCACCTTCAGCATTTGGGACTTGGGCGGTCAGCGGGAGTTCGTCAACATGTTGCCCCTGGTCTGCAATGATGCCGTGGCTATACTGTTCATGTTCGACTTGACGCGGAAGAGCACGCTTAACAGTATCAAGGAGTGGTATCGCCAGGGACGGGGCTTCAACAAGACGGCGATCCCCATTCTCGTCGGTACAAAATACGATCATTTCGTCAACTTCCCGCGGGAAGACCAAGAAGAGATCTCGAATCAGGTACGCCCATTATATCGTCGTCGAATTCTTTGGCCCAATACTGACGCTATGCCCAGGCACGACGATTTGCGAAAGCAATGCGAGCTGCTCTGATATTCAGCAGTACCAGCCACAGTATCAATGTCCAGAAGGTAAGTTGCATGCACGATACTACATTCGGTTCCTCCGACGGCCAGGCCGAATACTGACTATTTCCGTCCAGATTTTCAAGATCGTCCTGTCAAAAGCTTTCGATCTGAAGTGCACGATACCCGAGATCGAAAACGTCGGCGAGCCGCTTCTTCTCTACCAGTCGTGCTAGTGTCGGTCCTTGCCGAAACGCTGGAACCCGGGATCTCACACTAGCAGATCTCGAAGCTCCCCTCGGTCGATTTGCAGCATATATCAAGTCTGCAGGTGTAACCCCTCCTCACGCAACTTACGAATTGAACGGCCGCCACGACATACCTTCAATCGATCATCGTCCAGATTCGGAGGACCTTCAATGCAGTATTCTCGCCGATTTCGATGTTGCGGCTGGTCCCCACTTCCTCGACACCTTTAATGCTTGATATTCGTGGACGAGCACTCCACATGGCTGGCACCACGAAGACGAACCATTCAACTCTGACCTACAAGAAAAGAACAATTTCCTTTGTATTCATCGAGCACGCGCACGGAAGTCAAACTTTGCGCTTCAGCAGCATATTCGCATCAGGGAGAGAGAAAGACCATTCCGTAAAAGGGAAAGAGGGTTTCTTTCTCCCAAAGGGAGTCACCGGACGGTAAATAACGGACGTTATAGGCGCGGGTTGGGAAAGAAAACCCACGCATACACACAAGACTGTCACCGCAACACGCCGCATTGCGACTCGACATGTTTCTGATTGTTTGATTTGTCAGAGTTCTCGGGATAATGGAAGATCTGAGGCCCATCTCTGGGTCCTGGGGTCGATAAAGTGTAATAACTAAATGTTTGAGAACACAACAAGACTGGGCAGTATCACTCTACAGTTTACCTTCCCCCCGCGTGGGATGGGAAGGAAATGTGCATTGGTAGGCGCATTGCGAGAAGATGGTGGTCTTCATACTACGATTGTGTAGGTAGAGAAGAGCATGAGAAATCAAGATTGACGATGAAGGGGGAGCCTAGAGTTTACTGTGCCTGTCGTGAAATGCTTCTTACAAGTGGTATCGCCTTCCCTTTTTACTGATCAACTCTTAATTCCGTATCACCAGTAATGGGTGGCAGGATCTGGCGATCGAGGCCCTCTCCTTATGTACACAAGCGGTCCCCTACTAATGGGGCTTCATCCGGGGTGCTCTTCCTCAAATACCCCAGCGTTCCAAGGCCTGGCAGGGGGCTCGTCCGAATCACTCCTATTTACTACCTCCGTCGGGCTTAGCATGTCCGACGAGCTCCGCGAGAACCACGACTCTATGTGGTAGAAGGGTTCTGTCCCATATCTACTCAGCGGGACCGCCCTTCTGCACAGCCTCTCCCTCGCCCTTCTTGGGATCCTCACGCGGGTCCTCGGTGGCTGTCTTCTTGCTCGGCATTGTTGACGAGCTGGCCGCGACCTTGGTGTCCTTTTGTCTGACCTGTACGTGGAAGAAGCCGTCAGCAAAAGACATAATACCATGGGAGGAAGAGGAGCAAGTGGTATAAGAGAATCCAAACCGCCCAGTCTACCATAGTCACAGCCCGGTACGGCAAAGTAGGTAAGTGGGATCAACTCACCATTTCCTTATACTGCTCTTGGCCCTCCTTCTTCTCGTCCCAGTTCGTGGCCAGATCCGAGTTATCCGCCGAAGGGGGCGGCACCTGCCGGCCCGTCTGCCCACTTTTGTGCGCGGCCTTGGGGTCGCCCTGTCCGGGCTTGTCCACCTCGTCCTTGGACTCCTCGCCCTTGGACTCGGGCGAGTCGTCGTTCTCCTCGGCGGCTGGGTCGGGGTGGGAGGCGGCGTGTTCGACTGCGGCGTCGTGTTTGGCGTCCGCGTGCTTCTCTTTCTGCTGGGGTCCGCTTGCCAGCAGGAAGGCGGCACCGAGGCCTGTGATGCCGACGGAGCCTATGAGCCTGTGGTTGCGGGTGGGTGGTCAGCTTCACATATCAACACTCAACACTCCGCGTCGCTGGCCATTGACGAGCATATACTCTATCCTGATGGCTGTCTGCTGTCCGGTAGAGCTATGGGACTAGGGAAGGGAAGCTCACCAAGGCAGATCGCTCGACTTGGAGGCGGCTTTATGCGGAGCGTCGGCATAGCCTCTCCGGGCGGCGGGCCGGGCCAATTGGCGCGGTACGACTCGTGTGGTGACGTTTCGGAGGGCGGAGGACCGCATGGCGAAGACTCGGGAGGTCGACATTGTGGGAGCTAGCTAATTACGTAGCTGGAGCAGGTGAAGAAAATGGAAGGTATCGACTGACGAACCCGTCATATTAGTCCCAGGTCCTGCATCGATTCGAATTACATAGGTAGAGTAGCGGTAGTGGCGCGAAGAAAAGTAGCAGACTTACAGATGTGGTCGCGTGTGTGTAGTCGAGAGTAAACCTACGATTATAGGTGAGGCGTAAAGATGCAGAGGTGTCAATTGGGTTCAATGTCGAGAATGACGAAGGAGCAGCTGCCGCAGCAATTGCTCCGGTGGCTGGGCGGAATAATCATTCGATAATATTTGGCAGCGCAACAGCCCACCCTGAGCTCCTACCGTATGGGCCTGGCCAGGGGTGTTGACGGATGGTGAACGTCATCAGGAACAGCCCTGTCGTCCCGCTTGCGGCTCGGCAAAGGTGCCTGGGGCCCCACTCCGGGGTAGCCACAACTGTGCCTTCTGGCAGGGGCCCAGAATACCATGCTACGATGACTAGTATTCTGGATGTTCTGCTTGCTGTCTAGAAGGATGGGAGCTTGTCCCATCCGCTCTTTAGTCTAGATACAGTGCAAACGGTACCTTGTCCCTTGGGCAACAATCCGGCCGAACCGACAAGACACCTGACAGCTGGCATCAGCTGGATCCACACACCGACATAACTCACTATACAGTCACTTTGATGCATAATACGTGTTAAAACAATAACGTCTGATCGATTAAGATTAAAAATAACCTTAGCGCTGGTTGTGCTTCCACTACCATACAGTAGAGTATCTATCTGCATTTCAACTCTTACCCGACCCGTGCCTTCAGCTTAGCTAGGTCGAGTGGTTTCATGTCATCGTCCGGGGTGATCTCGTCAAACCTAGGGTTTGCCACGTTAGCTTTTTCCACCACTGGTAGGTCCTCCACGCTCCAGCTCTCCCTCTTGCATGGGGTAATCGTGAGACCCCGAGTTTTGAACTTACCAGAACACTGCGTAATGGCCCTCATAAGCCTGGTCCGAATCATCCGCCGATTCTTCCCGGTAGTACCACTGGTCCTTGCGATATCCGTACAGCCTGTCGTAGCCCAGCAGCTTAAACCCCTTCCCTATCCAGTCGGCGAAGTCGATCTCGTGTTGGACGGCCTCGTTGGAAACCATGGGAAGGAACCGGCCGGAGCGCGAGTTGATGACGAACATGAAGGGTCTCGCTGCAAACGTAACGGCGGCGTCTGCGTCGGCTCCCAGGCTGGCCGAGAGGATCATACTCCCTTCATCTTGATCCTCGTGTGCTCCTGGGAATTCTGTGAGGTGTGGGGGTCAGTTCAGTGCAAGTGCGTGGAAGTCCTGTCGCAAATGACACGCTCTTACCTGAAATAGTATACGTATCCTCGAAGTTGACGAGATTCTGAAGCTGGTCGTCGTCGAGCACTGTCCTCCTGAGCGCCATGCCCAAGCTGGGCGGCATTTTCTTCAGCACGTCTTTGACCAGATCGTCAACCTTGACGTCCCCTTGCCACGTCATGGACGCCTGGTTCGCCTTCGCGCTGTCGAGACCTAATAGATCACAAGCCGCGTTGGCGACTTTGCCCCAGGAGTCTGCGCCCTTCTGCATAGCCTCCACGACGTACGCACTCGCCTCGTCCAGGCCCCACGTAAAGAGTTTCTCTCGGCTTTTCGCGTCCTTGGCCAGGTACCAGTCAAAGAATGTCTTCCTTAGCTGCTTGACCAGTTTTTCTTCGTCTTTGGTTATGCCTTTCCTAGGAACCTGTTCTCGGAGATTGTCGCCAGTCGTGAAGTCATCCAGCAATGAGGATGGCACGGGGCACATCCACATATCCTTGGAATTGCTGGAATCGGAGTCGGAGTCGGCACCGGAGTCAGGTGTCTCATCAGCCTGCTCACATGGCTTTTCGGAATAGTCTCCACATGGTTAGCTCAGCTTCAGCCTGCACAATCAGCTAATACTGATTCCAAGGTAGACGGCAACCTACCGAATCGCTCCGTGAACCTCAGCAGTCGATTGGCATCGACTTTATTCATATAGGCAGGTTCTTCGTCCTCGGAGTCCATACCAAACACCACCTGCTTGTTATCTGCATCCTCCAGATAATATTGAGAGCCAACCCTTTTAACTTCCTATAATGAAAAGCGCACACGCAATCAGTATGTGGTCTTTCACGGTAGAGTAAGAATTCTTAACCGCACAAGTTTAGCTGATACGGCAGATATGACGGCAAGTAACAACAAGGTAGTTTGGCAAAGCCGGTTTGCAGGTGACTGCCCCATAACTACCTTGTCCACTGGTTCTGTTGACTGCGAGATATCTTGGTGCGGAAGCTGACTCAGGTAAGTGCTTGAAGTAGGTGGTCATGCAGGCGTTGTTAGCAGAGAACTTGAAGGGCTGATCGTGCCATCAACTTTCCTCTCATGCCGCTCTTATAAGAAACTACCTCCAGAGACGTGTTTCCTACTTTCATTGCCTCCCGAGCATGGCACGCACGGCTCCGGAGATGCCGTGTCAATTGTGAGAGCGCTCCTACGATGGTGTCTTGCGGATTTGCATCGCCTGCCATGGTTGCTATTTCTGGCCAGGCAGCAGCCAAGAAACCTAATAGTGGGCATCGATCAGTGCAGAGACCCAGTTGAAGATCCTATAAGTGGTGTTAGGTTCGAATCTAATAACACTGATAGGGCAGACAGGTGTCGCTGACATGTATGGCTGACATGTACGGCTGACATGTATGGCTGACACGTACGATGCAGCCAGCCCTGGCCTGGTAATGCCCTGCACCTCAATGTCTAAGGGTTTCCGGGCCGAGTGTCTTTTATAGAGTCCGACTCCATACCGAAGCGTACTATGAGATGGTTGATGGATATATATGTGGGGGATGGTAATGCTTAGCGGCTCCATATGGTAGGCGGTGTGGGTATATGATGCGATTTGGTTTTATTTGTATTTTTAGCTCTTCGACCGAAGGAAGGAGCCAAACCCAAATACCCCAAAAGATAACAAAAAGCAGACCCCCCTTGCTATACGCTAAGTCTATTAAAATAAACCGCCACAATCATCTCAATCCACCGAAACCTTAACTACGGATAGCGTCTACAGGCTCAGGCCGATGCGTCACACGCCGAACGGCATCCGTAACTGCCATGCTGACGTAAGGAGAAAGCTTCGTATCACATCGTGTGAAGTTCTGCCCATCACCATTGCAGATGATTATAGATTAGAACTTTGCTTGTCCTTAACAAGCTTAAAAGGTCACCGTCACGAGGAACTGCTAGGTAACCATTACCATCCTGGACACCTGTAAGTGCCCACCCATAGGACCCCGCCACTAAGAAGAAGAGGCAGTGTGACGTATTTTACTATTTTGAGAGATCTTAGTATATTTCGCCTTGACGGGGTCCTCCACCTAGCTGTAGCCCTTTGTCGTGGCACACCAGCAACCTCGATCGAATCTGCTAGGCTGGATGGCCACGACGATCGGTTTTCATATGGAGATGCCATACAGTTTGAGATCATCATGTCCCTCAGGGCTGGACACGCCAATCTGCTTTATAGATGGCGATTATGTCATAGGCACACTGAGCCGCCCCATATGCAACGGCAGCTTCTTATCCTCAGATGCTTCGAAGAAAAAAGTACCTCCAACAATAAATACAGTTGCATATAACGAGAAACCGTGATCCAGCCTTGTGAAACCGTCTCTGCTCCTTATACTTATGTGGGATTGAGGTTGACTTTCCCATATATACGGAAACAGATTATGGAGTGGACTCACTGGCATGCAAGCTAGCCTCCAATAGGCTCCACCTGAAGTTTAGACACAGGGGAAGATAGTGAGACCTTTCCTAGCTCTGCACTGGAAACTTTCCGACGGACGCGGACTAGCTAGTCGCACATCGGGAATGGAAATAATTATATGTAGGTAACCGACCCCTTTCCCGCGAAACTCGGCGGGAGTATATACGTAAAGAAGCGCCTTGGAATTATTGATGACCCTCACTTGTATAGTCCTCCATCCGATGGAGTAGCATTCGTCGACTTGCAGCGGCCACTCGCGGTGCTTAATCACGGTGGCCGCGGCAACATTACAAGACCCCGGATTAGGAACGCCAGTCTCAACTTTTCGATGTTCACATATAGGTATTTCACTGGCACGTACGCCACATGGAACGGGTCGTGGCTTACCGGTGTCAGACAACGCTGTGGAATACACCACGGTCACCAGACACATGCCAGTACTCGACCGCAACCCTTAATCATTCTTATTTTCTCCACTCAGAGCATTAATGTGACATTACACTGCTGTTCATTATATCCAGTCGTTGGGGAGGTGTCGTCCGAGACTGTAGAGGCGCAATGTGAGCCTGTTTGCGGGTAGACATATTCTGTCTAAGACCTTGCCCACCCGATGCGAATTTGCTTCAAGCTTGGCAACGCCTACAGATTAGCGGTACAGGGTATATAGCTTCAAGGAAAATGACTTGTAGGTTATATTCCTGTAATACACTATTGAAGCCCCTTGATCCGGGTCACTTCTGCTTCACTAAGCACGCCCAATATTTCCGTGCCTCCCGGCGAACAGTAGCCGCCCCTTTGCCAACTTTTCCCCCATGTTCGTCGCATAATGCTATTCTTCAAAGTCCTTGCGGCCTTGGCGTCATTGCCACGGGCGCTGGGCGTCGCGGACTTACTTCTGATAAAACCTGTCAGTGGAGCATATTATACAGCGACCGTAGACTACCAGCAAGCCATCGCGCTTGGTTTTACCGGTATGTCCCTCTATATGCTTCTTTGAGCTTATCTGTACGCTGCAGACACTAAGATCAAGTCCTATAGTCGATGCAGTCAATACCACACAATGGCTTGCTATGACCACCAGTGCCTTCTCCCAATACAAGTCTCTAGTGGTGAACCCCTATGGAGTCGCCAGTGGTGGTGATTTCTCCTCCTTCAAGTTCCTCATCGACTCCAAAGCACGATGGGCCCCCGCGGTAACGGGAAATATGATTATAGTCGGAACCGATCCCGGGAATCACGGGAGGACCATTCCAGGCGCCGCGGCTTTGATATCACACAGCGTCAACTTTACTGCCCGTGGAAGCGGCCCAGGGTTTTATTTGCAGATGCCCAGCACCGGTGGCGACGCCACTGTAGGCACCAAGGTCGATCCTCTTGATTACTTTGGGCGCTTCATGTATCGAACTGTCAGCGGCGATAACAACTGCCACATGGTGGCTAAATCGCCGGCCCGGGGCAGCCTTTCAGATAGTTACATCTCGAATTGGGCATACTCAGTCCATGGTGTATTTGCGTCCTACCCGAATAGTACAGCCTTCGGGACTGCCTTTACCTTCCAGACATTGGCCATCGACCGGGATCGTGGCGGGATAGGCAATCTGACCTGTCATGATGTCTTGACAGCGAGTTTTTCCTTCTGGGCTGTCTCAGTAACCCTCGCTCCCGAGACATCCATCTCGCGGCCCTGTTTCTCTTTATATAGTATTTGAACAGAGTAGTTACTGATTCTAACTTGCTTATAGTTGCACTTGCATATAAGGTCAGTACATTTTGAAGTCAATCATCCTCCCTTATGTCCATGTCTTAAGAGCAAATTTCCTCTTGTAGCCTTTCTCCTGAGCCGTCGCTCCAGGAACCCGCATCTCGTCTCCTCGTTACAATATCTGATGGGAGTGATTGCTGCCCCTCGTTTCAATAGGAGCTGCCGCCGATGGTAGCTGCCTGACTACTCCATCCTTGGCAAGCAGCTTGGCCGCAGCGGTCAGCAGTCTGATTGCAAGTAGCTCAACACCACCAACATCGAGCTCGCCTGCGAGCACTCCCACGCCGAGCATTCCTGCGTCAAGCGGTCCTGCGTCAAGCGGTCCTGCGTCAAGCGGTGCCCTTTCCAGTAGCTTAGATCCTGCGGTTCTATCAAGCGGAGCTCCAGATAGCTCATCCCTTATTCTCTCCACTAGCCCTAGCAGCTCGCAACTGGTTTCGAGTATTCCATCTAGCAGTTCGGACCCAGTCCCCTCAACCGAACCCCCCAGTAGCCCGGCTCCAATCCCTTCGAGTGACCCGCCGACCAGCTCGCTACCGGCTTCGAGCATTCCATCTAGCAGCTCGGACCCAGCTCCATCGAGTGAACCTCCAACCAGCTCGGCTTTGGTCCCCTCGAGTGACCCTCCGAGCAGTTCACTACCGCCATCAAGTACTCCATCCAGCAGCTTAGCCCCGACTCCGTCGAGTGAACCCCCAGCTTCATCGAATGAACCCCCAGCTTCATCGAATGAACCCCCAGCTTCATCGAGTGAACCACCAGCTTCTTCGAGTGAACCGCCTAGCAGCCTGCCATTAGCTTTAAGCGACCCTCCTAGCAGTTTACCCCCAACTCTTTCGAGTGAACCCCCAGCTCCTTCGAGTGAACCGCCTAGCAGCACACTACTGGTTTCGAGTAGCCCTCCTAGCAGCCCGTCACCATTTTCGAGCGACCCTGTTATCAGTTTACCACCAGTCGCCTTGACTGATCCGCCGAGCAACTTACCACCGGTGTCGAGTATCCCTTCCGCCAGTCCAGCCTCTGCTTCGAATGACACTCCAATAAGCAGCTCACCGCCAGCTTCGAGTGATACTCCAAACAGCTCGCCCTTAGTTGAGTCGAGTAACCCTCCCGCTAGTTCACCCCCTGCTTCGGAGAACCCACCAAGCAGCTCGGCCCCAGGCGCGTCGAGTAAGGCTCTACCGTATCCAGCTCACCAGGAGTTTCATCCGCAGTCGCCTCGGCTCAGACTTCGTCGGTAGTAACCAGCAACCCAGTCACGCAGAGTTCCCTTCCAAGCACTTTGGCCACTTCCCAAGTGACAAGCGCGATGGTAACGTCAGACCCGGGCCTGACCTCTTCGACAACACAAGCCCCAGAGGCGGGGGGTTCAAGTCCTGAGCCCGTGACATCAAACCCTGCACCTATCACAACTACTACAGATGATGGCAATCTACCAGCAACAACAACACCACAATCTCCAGAGGCGGGAGGGTCAAGTCCTGATCCTGTGACATCAGACACTGCACCTCCCGCAACTATTACCGATGGTGACAACCCACCAGCAACAGCTGGATCTCCGACGGAGTCGTCAGTCCAGTCTTCAGCGGAGCCGACAGCAGATGAAGTTATCTATGGCATTGAGATTATATTTATCGTGCAAGTCCTTACCCAAACAACCGGTGCTGTAGCAAAATGGACGGTACACAAGCGACAAGGTACATCAGTTCCACGGATTGTTGACATGGTATAGGGTTGCAACTGACAATATTCACCGCAGCGGCGACATCAGAACAGACACTGAGCATTCTTCAAAGAGATATTGCCACAACCTCTGTTGATGGTCAGACCGTTTTATCCAGCCATCATTGGAACCCCCAAATCGGGTCAGACTATCACAGTCAGAACGGTATGAGGCAAACCCTCTTTCGCCCAGCTCCTATTCAATGTCTTAAGGCTTTCCGATGAGCGCATGTCTGTTGCACTGTTGCTAACTATGTTCCCAATAGACCTCGACCATTGGAAAACCACCAGATACAACGCCGATATTTGCCTTCCAAGCATGCAACACGTGTGCAGTGACAAGCACAACTGAGTCTGTCCCAGGCTATACGCCGGGTGCGTGTAACGGATGTGAGCTGGTTACGGCCTTCGATTATAGCAACACCCAGACCACGGCCACAGCAAGCAACAGTGTCACTAGCAACTCGAACTCGCCAGCGGCACCTTCTTTAACACCAACGGGAGTTAGCAGCACCAGTGCGCCAAATTTGTCATCAAGCAGCGCGCCCAGCAGCGTTGCCACTGCTGCCAAAGCTGGGGATCCTTTCACCTTTGGCGTGTCTGGCCAACTAGAAAACCCAAATGACGCAATACTCGACTTTACTGTTGACGGTAGCACAGTTGACTGGCTGGCCTTCGACCCCAACACCAAGACGTTCTTCGGCACAGTTCCGGCAGGCTATCCGGCGGGCATTGTTACCGTCCGTGTCCGAGCCACCCGTGAAAATGGGGAGATTTACGAGTTTGAAGTCCCAATTGCAGTCACGCCAGATGATATCGCCACCCCAGCCACGTCTGGGTCGCCATATACCATCAGCACTCGCAATAATCTACTGGATCCTAGTGATCAAATTCTTTGGTTTGACGTGGACCGCTCTGGCGTGGACTGGATCAACTTCGACAACAGTACCGGTACCTTTTCGGGTACAGTGCCTGTAAACTATCCGCCAGGGACCGGAAAAGTTCACGTACGAGCGTTTGATCCCATATTAAACCTGAACTATGAGTTTGACGTGGACATCGTTGTTCGAGGACCGAATGAGGCCACCATCAATACTGCACCAGGGGGCGCCTTTTCCATTGGCATTGCGGATCAGCTCGCAGATCCGGGGGATAAAGTCACTGGTTTCACCACCGACCCCACCAATGCGACTTTTGTTCAGTATGATCCCAACACAAAGATGTTCTCTGGAACTGTTCCTTAAGGTTACCCAACTGGGCTGGTGACGGTCCACGTGCAAGCTAGGAACCCCATAACAGGGCAAGTGTATGGCTTCGATGTCCAAATTGTGGTTGATACTAGATCAATTAGTAGCCAGAGCAGTTCCAGCCCTCCGAGCGGCTCCGGAACCCCGAGCCAAGGAACACCAAGCCAAAGAGTAACGAGCCAAGGGGTACCGAGCCAAGGGGTACCGAGCCAAGGGTCACCAGGCACTCCGAGTCAAAGCACAACAGGTCAACTATACCCGGTCAAGCGACACCAAGCCAAGGAACGCCTAGCACGCCGGGCCAAGGATACCCAGGGACGCCTAGTCAAGGCGCACCGAGCCAAGGTATACCGGGTCAAGCTACACCGGGTCAGGGAACACCAAGCCAAGGGACACCTGGGCAGGGGACGCCAACTGAAGGGACACCAGCCCAAGCAACGCCGGGTCAGGGAACGCCGAGCCAAGATACACCGGGCTCACCTGGGCAGACCACACCTGGACAGACCACACCAGGGCAGACCGCGCCGGGCCAGGGCACGCCGGCCCAAGGCACACCGGGTGAAGGTACGTCTGACACACCAGGACAAGGAACACAGGGCCAGAATCCACCAGGACAGACTACACCAGACCAAATTTCACCGGGCTCCAATAGTCTGGTAAACGTTTCGCCCGGGGAAGCATTCGCCATTGGCGCAGCTAGCCGTCTTGCTACGCCGGATGATACGATCACCGGATTTATGACTGACCCGAGCGTGGATTGGGTCGTATATAACCCCAACACGAAGACCTTCTCCGGCAAGGTTCCAGCAGGCTGTCCACCCGGGGTCGTAACAATACGCGTCCGCGCTACCAACGCGTCCACGGGGGAGCCATACGAGTTCGATATCCAGATTCTTATCCCCAGCAACAGCTTTGCCGTTACTACGGCCCCGGGCAATCCGACTACGATTAACGCTCGCGATCATCTTGTGGATCCTAATGATCAGATCACAGTGTTCACGACCGACCCGAGTGTTAATTGGATTACTTTGGACCCCAATACCGGAACTTTCTCTGTAAACGTGCCAGACGGATACCCACCCGGGGTTGTCACAATCCGCCTTCAGGCTGTCAACAAGGAAACCGGACAGCCGTATGAGATTGACATCAAGATCGTCATCCCCAGTGGCAATTTCTCCGCTGCTACTCAGCCGAGAGCCCCCTTTTCGGTTGGTGTCAAGGACCGCCTCGTCAACCCCGACGACCAAATCACCGGATTTACGACCGACCCGAACGTAGACTGGAACTCTTTCGATCCCGCTACAGGCACTTTTTTAGGCACCGTGCCGCCCGGATATCCGCCAGGAGTCGTAATAATCCACATTAGGGCCATCAACCAAGCAACCGGTCAGCCGTACGAAGTCGACATCCAGATTTTCATTACCGGATCAACAGGTGCAGCCTTGGGAGTTGCGAGTAGCAATGGAACCATGAAACCTATGCCTACGGGGACAGATGGAAATGGTGCCATATTACCTAGACCTACTGGGACGGGCGGCAGTGGTGTCATAACACCAGCACCCATAGGGGCCGGCGGCAGCGGTGCCATGACACCCGCACCTATAGGCGCAAGCCGGCCAGGAGGCGCCGGTGGCTTAGTTACTATTTTCCCAACCACGTCCCCCGTGACGAATACTATCGCCAGTACAATTATTGGGCCCCCGGACGCAAACGGCAACCCGGGGTCGACCACGACGACTTTGTGCTACGAAACGACCTTCTCCCAGTATCTTGAAACCGTGACCATCCCGCCCGGGTCATGCACGACGTACGTAGTCACCAACAGCGCTGGCCGGCTCCTCACTTTCACCGCCCCAGCGCCGGATTGGACCCTGGCGCCGGGTGCAGGCGGATACACACAGATAGGGCCGCAAACGACAGATGGACAGGGAGTAAGCCAGTCGGAGGGATTCCAGACAGTCGTCCTTCCTACTGGCACTTCCGCTCAGGAAGGATCGGATGGAGGTATGGGCGCTGGTGTTACGGTATTACGTAATACCTCCACATATTCATGTACATATATACCCCTAGCTTCCCCGTTCTCTTCCGACCTTGCCTCTTCTTCCTTAGATATTGTTGAATCTAGATATTTCATACCATCAGCCCTGACCAGCGCAGCTGCAGGCCTGATTGTCACAGCTGGCGCCCCAGGACAATCAGGAGGCGGCAACAGTCAGTCAGATTCTGCTGGGACCTCAGGGGGTGGCCAGAATGGTACGAACGGAACAGAGCCAGCCAGCAGCCGGCCTGGAAACTCAACAGGGCAATCGCCGCCAGCTTCGACATACGTGCAGGCTGCAGAAGCTGCAAAGACGTGTGTGACGATGCTGGTGATGGTGGGCCTTGGCATGATCTTCTTTATTTGAGGCATGCGCGCAGCGAACTTTTTTTTGGTTTATACCACACTTTTCTTGCACGTTTACGATGCCACACCTAATGAATGTTCTTTATCATTCTGGATCGAAGTAACATATCATAGCATGTCAATAATGACACCCTTAAGTTCTGACAACGAGTTCCCGAATCGAAGTGAATCACCTTTGTATTACTTGAAGTCATACTTCCAGGCCTTTGTCATTTGGTGTGGAGGTCACGGAAAGATTCCAGCCCTCTGGGCGATTCTCGCCAAAACGTGAGAGAACCTCGAGCGCACATTGGATACCCTAGGACACTATATCATTGGAGACTTTCTCAAGAGTCGCTTGGCCATGATTTGTTGCTTGCCCTTTCCCTCTCGCCTTCTTGATCGAGGATGACTGATACGTCTCAAACGTGGAAGCATAAGTTGCGAATAACTTTATGCATGCCATCAGGTATGGGCCACATGTCTATAAATACACTCGAGTCAGTGAATGAAAGCGGGTGTCTCACAAATGTCATCGGGCCTGAATGCGGTTCTCGTTGTGTCGATATGATTGCATTGACCCTGATGAAGAAGTACATATTAGGTGTTAGGTTCGAATCCTAATAGCGTTAGTTAGTATGGCTCCACCTTTTGGTGCTTCCATCTGTTCTGTGTCGGTTCCGGAGAGTCACATTCCAAGACAAGCAGTTCGCTTGATTGACGTTTGCAACACAAATCATTTCCACCCGAGACATCACAAAACATTTTTCTACGATTTCAAGAACTTGCCACAGCACACACTCCTGGAGTGACCGTCAAATGGATTCCTGGACACAGAGATATTGATGGCAACGAAGCTGCCGACACACTAGCAAAAGAGGGTGCCATGCTGGAAACAGACACAACAAATCTTCCTACAATCTCTTGGGTCAAGAGAGATCTCAAAAGACAGGGCAAGAAAGAGTTCAACCAATGGTGGAAAGACCAATCAGAATCTAGGTATCAAGAAGTATACTCACATGCAGTAACTGAAAGAGACCTTATATCTTTTAAGAGGAGTACTTTACACAGACTTCTAGCGGCCAGATCTGGACATGGCGACTTTGCCAGATACCATGAACGCTTTGGGCACACAGATTCAAATGATCACTGCAGCTGTGGTGAGAAGAAAACACCACAACACATTTTCTTTTGTAAGAGGCTGGGGAAAAATCGGCTACTGCCTAGGCATTCGCCTAGGGCAGCTTGTTTACAATACTTAGGGGAGAGGAGCACAGAATGGGCAAAATTCGTGGAGAAGAGCAAGTTCTTTTCAACAATCTGCCCCCGATAGATAGCCTTCCTTGAAGGACCAGATGGATGACCCCAAGGTCATACCGCCGCAACAACGGGGATGGGCCCGTGAGCGGGACTGACTGTACTTATTATCTTGAGACCTCCACAACCCTGCGATGCAGAGGCTCTGGGAGGCGTGGTTTGCACTACTGAGGAGCTACCCCCACGTTAAATACAAAACAAAACAAACAAACAAACAAACAAACAACACAAATCATTGATTTCACTACCAAAAGCGACAATGAAAATCATTTATGCGTGCATGTTTGGAATGCACCACATCACTTATACGATGAACGATGAAAGTATCATAAGAGTGTCCATGTAGGATCAATACTGGTTTGAGATTATCATGGCGTTGAATGATCAGTGGACTAGGGGAACATCTTGTAGCGTATGCATCGGTGATGACCAGTGTAGTGATGTGCCAATAGATTGATCCTTGTTCCTTGACCGTTGACCCATTCCCATGCTTCCCGATGCGCTTCGGACGCCGCATCCTGCCCTCCCAACTTCCGTCACAATTCCCCGAAGCGACTCACAGAATCTCAAACCCATACCGAGAGTCCCTTTCTGGTAGATTGAAGGGGTAGAAGAACTCGTTGTATGTGAACACGGCAACAAGAACCCATCCGAGGGGAGGGAACACCCAGAATACGCAGAAGTTGATGGCGACAAAAAATAAGCCCCGCAACACGTAGTTCCACTCCCGTAGCATCCGGAAAATGAGTCCGAAGACTGAAGCGAAGACACCGAGGACGGCCAACAACGCCAGCGTGATAAAGGCTGAATCCCAAAACCCTGGCCGATCCGGGTCTGTGCCCATCGTGTTTGTCATGTTTTTCGCTTCGTAGGGTGGCTGAGATGACGTGGTTCGAATTGGCTGAACTCGATGCTTGCCGGTCTGGTAGAGAGTGACGGATGTGGCACGCGGCGAATTCTCGCGAGAGGTCGTCCCTGGCCGTAAACGGACGAGTGGATTGTGGTGGTGATAATAAGAATACCACGAGTACCTCCCCCAGCAGTGCGGCGCGTCGGCAATTAAACCCTATCGCAAGGACAAAGACCGCCAGCAGGTGAGTACGATGCCAGCAGAGCTCTTTGTTCACCTTGTGGTAATGGCCACTTCTTTATGACCGGATCTGGCAATTTGGACAAAGACGACGCTCTTAGTGACATGTTAAAGCCGAAAGTGTCGATCTCTAGGCTTCAACACCTGTATTAGGTAGCCAACCACTGGCCCTGAAAGAAGTGGCAGGGATATCATCTAAGGGTCATTTCGCAGTTTGAAAGTATCACACCGGCCGTATGGCGCAATGGTCAAATGCGCCTGGTTGTGTTCTCGTTTGTGCGGTGGGCGACGAGAACAAGTGGGTTCGAATCCTGCTATGGCCCCCTTTCTGACCCGGCTTGTGCGAGTCGATAACCAGCACACGACAGTGGAGAGGCCCCATTTTATCGCAGAGCCCGATAGCCAAGCAGCTTGTCTCCACAATACCCACTCCTGCGAGGTTTTCCCCCTTGTGGTTTCCCTCGCCAGCAGATAACAAACACCTACTCCACCCACCAATGCGACATATATCGAACGGCTACTGGAACGATATGTACACCAGAGAACTGAGGTTCACTGGGTCGCTTTGTCACTAGATAGGAGGTTTTTCTGACGGAATCGTGCTTGGGTATTGACTAAAACCATCTGAACACTCCAGATTGGTACCGCTACAGCGAGGATAGGCTCGTGCGCGGATCTGAATGTATCTAATTTGACACCTCTACAACCTTGCGATGCAATGGCTCTGGGAGGCGTGGTTTGCACTACTGAGGAGCTACCCCCCACGTTAAATACAAAACAAACAAACATTGAAAGTATCACAGACGCCTGTTATTTTAGCCAATGTGTTCCACTGGATTCTGTATGCTTCAAACCTACCTCAGTAGGCGAGCGTGCGTCTCATGAAGCCGCCACCTTCTACTTTACATACTGGTGGGTTTAGGTACCAACGATGTTGGGTTTCTTTTGACTATAAGCTATTATAATTGTATGGTAGGCAAGATGGGTGATGTCAAAACATGTACTAGAATGCAACCTGACCGAATCATGAGTGCACCGCAAGACAAATAGTTGTAGGACCAACCAAAAACGCCGAGCCATGATCCGAGTACAAGCTGCCAACAGTCAGGGGATAGTCAGGTTGGACATGTCTATAGAAAGCAAGAATAACAGTCGTTAGCTATTCGGTGCTCTGAGGAAGAAGGCAGCATCATACACGATACATCCTCGTACCACTCGACCAAATCTAGCCATTCCACCGGGTAGGAGGCAACTAGGAAAAATAACAAGAGTAACGTAGCAATATCTTGGCGGACGGCAGCAAGCCATCAAAAGGGGTCCCAGGCCCGTGGGAAGAGCTGGATGAGATGCCCCTGACGACGCTTCCCACCGCGTACGACATGTTTTCTTCGCAGTCCCAAAACCAGGAACATGGTGAGGTCCGCGAACACCTAGACATGCCTAATTGGAGATGGCCCGCTGCTACCTGTGCCGCACCCGCTGGACTGGTGGGAAGTGCAACATAACCGGACTCTCCATCCACGCCATGCGCTGATGAGCATGCCCAACAGGATAGCAGGAAGGAAGTGAGGGGACGGGGGGTGTGAGACACGAGAGGTGATTCTTTCCATAATATAATGAGCTCGTCTTACCTCCATGTCACCCGTCGTGCCGCACATGTGCATACTCAATACACATATGCAGTGCCAACATCTCCTGTCTGCAGCACCCAACTCGTACCCCGCTCGTTCGCCTTGCCCCCCTTGCCCCCCTTGCGTGTCTGTTGGATGTACGAGCCGCGCCGACCAATACTTCATGCATCCTTTGTGTTACCTGGCAAACCAACCAACAACCGCACCCGGATGAGCGGCGCTGATGATAAACTGACCCAGGGCCTCCTCGCAGCTGAACCTAGCGATCACACCAGCTTTCTCACCAGGGCTTTTAGGCGAAGCCCAATCCGACGAGACTGCTTATCACTACTATTCGCAAGTATTTCCAATTGGGCCTCCTTCGTTCGCATTAAAGCAGTTAAATCATACCATCTTTCTACCTTGGCCCGCCATGGTGCCAACGACCTCTCGTGCGGTCCAATGGCCCGAGACGACCCAGGTTTACTACCCGGACTCCAGCGCGTTTGTTGAGGCGACGGCGCGGTGGAATGCCTTCAAGGCTCCGGGCTACGATGCCGCTATTTCTCCGTCAACCGAGGAGGAGGTGGTCGCAATTGTGAACGCATATAATCCTTTAACCACGTGAATACCGTCCGGATGGCGAGCTGACTTTTGGGCCTTGGTCGCTAGGTTAAAACTGCGAGAGAACAGCATCCCGTTCCTCGCGACTGGTGGACGACACGGCTACGGAACCACCTTGGCTACTTTGCAGAATGGCCTGGCTGTTGATCTCAGCCGTATCAACGAGGTCAGCATCAAGACAGCTGGCTCTACTCTTACCGTCGGCGGGGGCGCCAAGCACAGTGATGTTCTTGCTTCCGTTTACGAGGCAGGCTTTCAACTCCGTGAGTCCCATCCTGCTTGCCACTCTCTGTTGTACCTTTACACGTCTGCCAAATTCTGGCCTTCAGGACTGACTTTCGCGCCAGCATCTGGTTCCTGCAGCGCTGTTGGGTTTGTTGGTGCAACGCTTGGTGCTGGAGTTGGTGTCTTCTCGGGCATTTACGGCCTGCTGATTGACAGTCTGCTCTCCGTAAGGATGGTTACAGCCAGTGGGGACCTCATTGAAATATCGGAAAGCTCAAACTCTGATTTGTTCTGGGCTCTTCGAGGAGCTGGTGCAAACTTCGGCATTATGACATCCGCAACTTATAGGCTCCGTCAACAGACTAACAAAGGAGAGGTGTTCGTTGCAGATCTGATCTATCCCGCTGCTTTTAAAGAGAGCTATTTCAATGTCTTGCAGGCGCTTGAAGATAACTGGCCGCCTGAGCAGGGCATTAACAGTGCGATATTCTGGGACCCGTCATCTAATGCTGTATGTAGTAATGTCTTCGATGCATTGCCCGGAGGTTCTGCCTGTTCCATGCTGACGTTTGGAGTTGACAGACCTGCATCATGGGCACCTTTGTGTACACGGGCCCCGAAACCGACGCCCGCAGAGTCCTTGCTCCCTTCTTCAACCTCAACCCCTCTGTCTCTCGGGTGGTAGTCGTCCCCTTCTACAAGGTCCCGTCCGTACTCCTGATGGGTATGATCGAGGGCTTTTGTGATACGAAAGAAGGCATCCACAGCATCCACTCACTCAATGTACGCAAATTCTCCGCCGAGACATACGTCGCTGCTGTTGGGAAGTTTGAAGCTTTCTTCGAGACATACCCGGCTGCCCGTTCATCTGCGGCCGTCCTGGAAACGTTCTCCAACGCCCAGACATCAAAGGTGTCAGATGACGCGACTGCCTATCCTTGGAGAGACGCAAAGCGCAATTTGTACGAGCACCACCATCTCACTTGTTCATCCCAGCGCTGACACGGGAACCTCACTATAGTATGTTCCAGATGGGCTGGGAAGGTCTTGATAACCCCATAGGCAGCGTTGCGGACGATTTTGCTAGACAGCTTCGAGCCGACTTTGTCGCCACCTCGGGATATCCCGAACTATCCGTGTACGTATGCTATGCCTGGGGTGATGAAACTCTGGAGCAGATCTACGGCCGTGACAAGCTTCCCCGTCTCCTGGCTTTGAAGAAGACGTGGGACCCGGACAACGTCTTCGAATACAGCAACGCCCTGCCGACCAAATACCCAGTCCCCTACCGCTCGCACAGTCCAGGAAGAGGTAGATCATGCATAAAGCAAGAGATTGTATTGTCGAGTCAGAGTGTAGGGTTTGCAACAGACTACCTGCAGGCAAGCTGTCCGCTTCGAAAGGGAATGGACAAATTTCGAGCATGAGTCCACTTAGAAGGGCGAACAAGTACTTTGACATTGTCGAGCAAGCGAGTTACCTGTTTGTCTAGGTCGTGTTTTCTTTTGTAGATTATCTAGGGGCCTATATGACAGAGTCAATACACCAGCTTCCCCCGACCTCGATGACTTCTTCTTCTCCACAATGCTGTGCGTTTTCGTTCTTCTAATACGTATGCCTAGCGGATCACAACTGTCCTTGTGCTTGCAGTTAGTCAAAACAGCACTAAGTAGAGGGTCTTGACAGAAACTATGTCCCTGGTACCTCGAGTCCAATATAGACCCGTGTTGGACCGAGTAATGAGAACCATGTCGAAGCAAGGGTTTTCAGCTCTGCTGAGCCGCATTGTGACCCAATTTGGACCCTAGGGTCCGCGACCAAGGGCCGTTGTACTTTTTATACGACTGCCAGCCGGTCCTTGTATTTCGAGTCGCTTCAGGTTCTGTACTCGTGCAACCGGGTCATCGTCGCGCCGCCGATGGGACTACGGTCATGCTTGTGGCCTGGGAACCTACCACTGCGACTAGATGCGTCAAAGTTCATCACGAGACATATGTGGCCGCATGTTCTTCAGGGCCTCCGCACTGTCGAGTTCATATTTCCACGCATCGACCCGGCCACCACCCCAGTCACCTATGAGCCATACTACCAGGACTTCTGCTTTGCTATAAATCACCTCAAGTCGTATGCCAACGTAGGCTGCATAACCATGGTTATACACATCACGGCCGCTCAGTCGGCGATGACAGGCGATCATAGATGGGCACACAGAGGGCTGGCTAAATCCAGAGGTGACGAAGGCTCAGTTCTCCGAGCCCACACTCAACTACTCAGCCATCTAAGGACACTAGCAGGCATGAAAAAGTTATTTGTTCACCTTGAATAGGAATGGCACTGGTCGCCTGATAACCTCGAAGTAGTAGCGCTGGAGTCATACTTGGAGAAGTATGTTATAGGTGGTGATTACGATAACTACAATGTGGGAAAGACGGATAAGCAAGGTTTTGAACAACTTAATAAATATTAACATATTAGTTAAGTTAACGTTAATATCTACGTTAACTCAATCTATTAAAACCCTTACAGCTTTAGCAATTAACTTAATGATAAAGCTATTGTAAGTTAATATTAAGTTAATATTTATTAATTCATAGTAAATTATTACCTGAATATTAATAACTATATAATATTTAACCAATATTATTATTAAATAGTTAAAAGATTAATTTAATTAGTAAATAATGCTACCTTACAATAAATAATAATTTATTAATAACTTAATTACTTTAAAACCTATGATTTAATGAATAATATTACGAAAATCTTCTGGAAATTTTAATCATTTTAGTTTAAATTGTAATTGTTGGATCTATGCAATTCCAGCCTGCAAACCATCTATACCAAGACCCACATGTATGATTAGATAAGAGATTAGATACCGGATTGCGAGGTTACTTAGCCAGACCTTCGGGTCCAGCTAGACCTCCCAATCCAACCATCAGCAACATCATAACCTTGACCCCATACTCGAGTATTATGATTGATCGTTCAAGCCTGTTCCAACAGTAATCTTATTAACGCGTGAGAATATTACCGAACCTATTTACGGATAAAACCATGATAATTTATATAATTTAATTCGCAATAATTTTAAAGTTTAACTATAATATAGTTAAACATATATACCTTTTTATAATATATTTTATTTATAACGTAAATGACAAGCGAGCCGCAATTACAAGCGAACGGCAACTTTTCACCAGCCACCTAACCTTTTTATTAATGCTCCTAATTGATCAACTGATAATAATGGCATTGCGTCATAGCAAATCAGACTTACAGCTTGTTGTCCAAGCCAAACGACGCGACCCTCATATTACTATTGGCAAGCTTTCTAAGACTTTCTATGTCCTATATAATACCTTAAAGGCTAGAATCGCCGGCCGACCATCACGACGTGATAGCATACCTAATACTTTGAAACTTACAGTTTCTGAAGAGAATGCCATTTTTTCTTCATTCTTGACCTAGATGTGCGAGCATTTCCACCCGGCACAGTTATGTTGAAGATATGGCAAATCAATTATTAGTGGCACGTAGAGCTCGACGCATTAGAAAGAACTGGGCGCACAACTTTATTAAACGTATACCAGGCCTCCGGATGCATTTTTATCGGAGGATGGACTACCAGAGAATCTTGAATAAAGATCCAGACTCGTATGGCGCGTGGTTTTGCCAAGTTGCGGCAGTAATCATAAAATATGGTATCCAAGACACGGACATTTATAACTTTGACAAGACTGGGTTTATGATGGGCATTATTAGGTCTGACATGGTCATCATAAGCGCCGAAAGATGTGATAGGCCTGAATAAGCTCAACAAGGCAATAAAGAATATTCTATAATAATCTCTGTTTTTAATACTAATGGTTAGATAGTCCTGCCATTCAGCATTTTATAGGGCAAAACCTGCCTTGCGTCATGGTAGCGTGACACAACATTATCACGTGATTAGAAGATGGCCGTGTCTAACAAAGGGTGGACTACAAATAACATCAGTTTGAAATAGATTTTACATTATTAGGTTCTTTGTTTTTATTATTATCTATTTTAACTATGTCTTCTATAATGGGAACTACCGATTTTAATGTTTTATTTAAAATAAATTTTAATTATACTACACAATTATTCTTATTCTGTGGAATATTTATAGCATTTGCAGTAAAAACTCCTACTATATTTTTAAATAACTGATTATTAAAAGCTCATGTAAAATCCCCTTTAGGTGGAAGTATTATCTTAGCGGGTATTGTTTTCAAATTAAGTTTATATGGTATATTTGGATTGATTTTACCTATATTACCTAAAGCATCTTTAGCTTATATATCTATAGTATTTGTAATAGGTGTAATAACAATAATATATGCTAGTTTTAGTACATTAAGAACTACAGATATTAAAGAGTTGATAGCTTATAGTTCAGTATCTCATACTGCTGTTTATTTGATAGGAGTATTTAGTAATACAATACAGGGAATAGAAGGAGGAATACTTCTAGGTTTAGCTCATGGATTTGTATCTAGTAGTTTATTTATATATGCAAGGGGTGTATTATATGATAGATCTGGAACTAGATTAATACATTATTATAAAGGTATAACTCAAATGATGCCTTTATTTTCTATATTATTTTTTATTTTATCTTTAGGTAACTGTGGAGCTCCTTTAACTTTAAATTTTGTAGGTGAATTTATGTCTCTTTATGGAGTATTTGAAAGATTACCTGTTCTAGGTGTATTTGCTAGTTCTTCTATAGTATTTTCTGCTGCTTATACTATATATATTTTTAACCGTATAGCATTTGGTGGATTTTTTACTAGATTCTTTGAAGGAAATATAAGTGATTTTACTAAAAGAGAATTCTATTTATTATTTACATTATTAGCCTTTACTGTTATTATTAGTATATATCCTTATATTATTTCAAATGGACTACACTATTCAGCCACAAATTTAATATATAAATATAATTTATTGGTTTAGTACTATTTAATAACACGGTGGTTATAGTTTACTCTTGAAAAAAAATAAAAAAATATAGTTGTTTCCTTAATTAAAATATTTTCGTTTTATAATAAACGCTAATACTTATTAAATGGTATTTAATAACACGATTATTACTAATATGCCTCAATTAACACCATTTTATTTTGTAAATGAAGTAACTTTTGCTTTTGTTATAATTATAATAACAATATATATGTTATCTAAATACATATTACCTAGATTTGTTGGTTTATTTTTAGCTCGTACTTTTATATCTAGATTATTTAATTAATATTTATACTACATGAAGTAGTAGATTTTTAAAATATTATATTAAATATAAATTAAATTTATCAAGATTTACATTTCAATTATTAAGACTAAAGTTAAATTAAGAAAGTAATCTAGTAATATATATTACCAGATTAGTTTAAACTTTGAGTTTTAAATAACTATTAAATACAGTTATGATAGTTTTACAATGGAAAAAATAACCAACTTTTTTAATTTTAATAGAGAAATAATTAGCCCTTTAAATCAATTTGAAATAAGAGATTTATTAAGTATTGATGCACCTATATTAGGAAATTTACGTATATCAGTAACTAATATAGGATTATACTTAATGTTAGGTGCTTTTTTTATATTAACTCTTAACCCTTTAAGTACAAATTATAATAAATTAGTAGGTAATAATTGATCAATAAGTCAAGAATCTTTATATGCAACTATTCATAGTATAGTAACAAATCAAATAAACCCTAGATAAAACAAATATACTTTCCATTTATATATGCTTTATTTATATTTATATTAATTAATAACTTAATTGGAATGGTTCCTTACACTTTTGCTTCTACAAGTCATTTTGTATTAACATTTGCATTAAGTTTTACTATAGTTTTAGGTGCAACAATATTAGGATTTTAAAAACACGGTCTAGTATTTTTCTCTCTTTTAGTGCCTGCTGGTTGTCCTTTAGCTTTATTACCTTTATTAGTTTTAATTGAGTTTATTTCTTACTTAGCTAGAAATATTTCTTTAGGTTTGAGATTAGCAGCTAACATATTACCAGGTCACATGTTGCTTAATATATTAGCAGGTTTCACATACAATATAATGACAAGTGGAATAATATTCTTTTTCTTAGGTTTAATACCCTTGTCTTTTATTATAGCATTTTCAGGTCTGGAGTTAGGTATAGCCTTCATTCAAGCTCAACTTTTTGTGGTTTTATCTTTAGGTTATATAAAGGATGGTGTAGATCTTCATTAAAGCATTTACATTTACTAAGCAACCAGTAGTAAGCGATTTAGTTAGTTTTATGCATAGATATATTTTATAATTAGTTTTTTTATTAAAATGTTGATCTTAACTTTAAAGATTTTTAAATTGAAGTTTGTTTAAAGGGGAGGTGTACCAATTCTATTCTTATCGATAAAGGCCAATTGAATAGAGGTGAAGTGGCAGTGGTAATAGTCTTAATTTTAAACATTAATTTTCTATTAATATAGAAGTTTAAATCTTATAAACTATTTTATACTAATATGGTTTATATATAATAATAAATTAAATTTAAACCAATTTAAGATAAGTTATAGTAAACAACATATTAGTGTATAAAATTACTTTGAGTGTTGTTGGAACAGGCTTGAACGATCAATCATAATACTCAAGTATAGGGTCAAGGTCATGATGTTGCTGATGGTTGGATTGAGAGGTCTAGCTGGACCTGAAGGTCTGGCTAAGTGACCTCGCAATCCGGTATCTAATCACTTATCTAATCATACATGTGGGTCCTGGTATAGATGGTTTGCAGGCTGGAATCGCATGGATCCAACAAGTGTAGAATTTAGGTTTTAAATAGAAAAGAGATTAAATTAGTCAATAGTATATAATGTTTAAATATGTATAATATATTTAGAATAATCAATTTAACCCTAATATAATAAATATTAGATCCTCTTTAGTAGAATATAGGAGAAGATATTTATAGTAAAGCCGATAATAACATATAATGTAAAATTACTAATTTAAAACAGATATAGATATATAAAATTCTAATTAATAAAATTAAAAGGTTCAGGTTATTCAGGTTTATTTAATTTGTAATAGTATAAAAGATTCAGGTGTTTATATGTAAAGTTTAATGTAGCAGAACTTATATGAATACACCAAAAGTTAACTTTCGCTAATTCAAAATTACACAAAACAAATGTAATACGAATTATAATTAATTATGATGATTTAATAAAATAAATAAAATAATGCAAAAGCTAAAAATAATAAGTACAGTATTTTGACAAGTATATCAGACCGCGTATGACCGCCGGTAAACGCCTCCTCATCCTAGTTAGCCACAAAAGCCACCATTTCCAGGTCTGTAAGAATTATTATGAGAATAATGGTATTGTTACTCTTTATATGCCTGTCTACTTGTTATACATGCTCCTGCCTCTAGATATTAGTTGTTTTAGCCCGCTCAAACAAGCTTATTATTGCATGATTAAGGATCTCATCTGGCGTTATATAACCCACGTTTCAAAGGCGGACTTCTTTATAGCGTTTTATAAAGTACATAACGCTGTTATGACACTAAGAAACATTTGAATAGGTTTTAGTGTCACTAGGCCTGTTCTTTTTGACCAAGAAAGTGTCATTTTAAAGCTGGATGCTGTTGCTGTCGTACGAACACCGTTGTCAGACCCTCATCTGCCACCCACTACTTGGACTTCAAAGACGCCTACCACCATTAATAAAGCGGTAAACCAATCAGTTTATATCCAGAATCGAGTCAGAAACCACCTGTGAAGCTCACCTACATGAATAATTGATGAATTGAGCTCATTTTTAAAGGCTACATACAGTCTTATGCACAAGGTCACTTTGATTGATTCCTGGGTGTACAAACTAGAAAAGGATAATCACTTACTAGGTAAACATTAGAAAACAAAAAACAAACGTCTAGTAAAAGGAGGAGTACTTTCTGTTAAAAATACAATAAATCTTTATGCCACAAAGGATGGTACTGAGCTCACAAGACAGGAAATAGGTGAAGGTAGTCGTCGTCCAAGGAGGGCGGCAGCGTGTGAGCAATGGTGTGACGTTTGTGATAACACTGGCCATAATGCGCAAACTTGTGCAATAGAGATAGAAACGTCTGAGGAAGAGGAATTCGATTGATTGAATTGAATTGAATGCATTGTGATTAAGTTATTTGACATGGCAGTTGGGAGGTTGGTAAGAAGTTGATGTTCACTTGTAATTGCCGCTCGCTTGTCATCTACGTTTAATGCGTTGTGCAATGGGTGTCAATTGATGTATGTGTGCGGGCATGGCTTGCAAGGAATAAGATGGGAAGTATGGCAGCTACTTATGGTGGCTGCAATCCTTATCTTAGTCCAGCCCTAGCTATCTAGGTCCACTCACACAATATCTGACCCCACACACCAGTGGCTGTGTCAGTGACTGTGGCTGTACCAGCCACACTAGCTACTCCGGCTAGTGACACGTACTATAGCTATACGTATTATTAGTAACAGTGACTTTATTATTTTAATATCACGTAATTAATACGTAACTACACGGACGATAAATCGTTTCGGGATTATTAAGAACCCGAATTTTAAGGCGGGTACATATTCATTTCCTTATTAGATTTAATGCGGTATTTATTTTTATTTTTTATTTTTTGAATAAAACATCGTTATACGTATATATTTGAAATAAGGCCTTTACGTCTTTATTGTATATATATAACGTAATAAAACTAGTAATTATTAAATAACGTTATTACCTATAATAAATACTACTTCATGGATATAGTATGTTTTAAATAATATTTAAAAAAGTTATATATAATACGTAGAAAGGATTTTTATGAAATTCCCATGTAAACATCCGTTTTTATATAGGTTTTTTATAATTTATTAAACGAAGGTCTACAAAAGTTTTACTAATAGGGTTTAAGTTAAGGGGAAAACGATTAAAGTTTAATTATAAGATATTAAAAGAAACCCATTTTTCTTTTACTTAAGGTTATAGTAAAACTTAAATTAATTCCGTAATAACGATATTAGTTCAATCTGCTAGGTTGGAATTACGAGAATTGTGCTCGACTTTCGTCTTAAAAGACGGTGGAATATAGTTCAATGTAATATTAATAGTTGCGGGATTTGGCTAACGGCCAAGTGCTAGCCGGGGACGAATCTGCAATTGGCTATTTTATCTCCATTCCGGATTTACCAACTGGTCTCGTGCTCAGGCAGGGAATTCACCTGGGACCCTTTGATGACAAACTTCGATCTCGTGGCCGACTATTTCCCCATACAGTTTGTTCTTGAGAATTCGATAGTTTCCACCCATATTCGCTACAGTGTTGAACTCATCAAGGAAACCATTCTGATTCGAATTGACGTACAAGAGCCGGAATAACGTGATATGTAGTCTGGGAATTCCTGCCCAGTCAAATCCAGGTGCGGAATACATACCGTTCAGCATTACTGGCACGCCTGGAAATGAATGACTTGCTTCGCGGGCTGCCTATTCCGAGATCTCCGAGTCAGTTCTCCGTAGGCAACTTTATGGCTGGTTGGATGTGGGCACAAGTGCCAGACAAGTCAGGAAGAAAGAAAACGAAGGGCTGTGCGTGATGGTAGTCACTCACCGTCAATCCCCAGGACATTACTTGAAAAATGGTCCGCCACGACACCGGCTCTTTAAGTCGCGCACAGAAGCCGAAGTGGCCAGCCGCGTGGATAACATGGACAACTGGACCCCTGAGTGTACTTAATGCTGGCATGGGACCACCAGCGAATACATTGACTAATTGGGCTGTAGGTATCGCAAGTCCGGCGGGTATGTTGACATTTGCCCAGTAGTGTAGGATTTGACCAAAGCAAACCGCTGTATGGTTTCCTTTACATCCTGGGCTTGCGAAACCAGAGTCATACCACGTAAGAGTATTGGTGTCCCTGTCCCACAAGCTCATGGAGTATACGTCTCGGCTCTGTAAGTTGGGTCGAACACCGTGTCTGTGAATAAAGACAGCCATGCGGTAGCGAGGGACCGGCGGGGCCGCTCTATCAGGCTGAAGAACTAGTTTATTATATGTTAGTGATCAATCTTCGTATGAAAACTGTGAGTGAGTTTCCAAGTGCGAGCAGACTCGGGATCATGTAACCTTCGGCTATCATGGGCAACATCTCGCTCACTGCGTGTATAGAAAGATTACGAGATAGATTGACAGGTATCTTACTGGCTGAGACCCATGGAGCCGACATGTCTTGCGCAACGTCAGGGGGGAATCCCAAGTCGAGTGGTGGCAGTCTAGCGGTCAGGCGGGCTTGACGCCGGTCTATCGTAGGGTGGAAATAGGTCCATACACCTGTCTGGCGGGAGATCTGGTTACGCAGGTTGCAGGCGTTCAGTGCCGTGTCGATTTTCCTGTAGTCTGGTTGATTATGTGTGTCGGCGAGACTCTTGAGTATATATAGGACGTCACCGGCCACAGCAGGGCTTATACGTGGGAACGGAGCACTAGCGCGGGTCCCACGCCACCCGCATTCCCAGCGCCATTGAAGGGAAACGGGTGTTGCCAGATCGGAGCCGCCATGATGACGTGCAACTATGAACGGTGGATTCGGAAAGCTCGTGAGTCAAGATCCCAAATGCAAGAGGTGTATGGCGGTTTTTGAAACGGGAAATCAAATCAAAGACCCAAGTTTCAACGAACCTATGGCAGGGAAAGAGCTTTACTTATCAGCTAACGTGAATTGGTTCGTCTGAGTCAAACTTGGAGCAGGCCGTTTTCGTCTCAGTTTCGACCCGACTCGAAGCTAGTGAACAAAGACGGCTTTAGGGTGAGACCAAAGACAGACAGGACTGCCCTTTGCGGAAATGCCCCGAGACAATATTGAGCAAGACAAAAATGAAATTGGATGCAAAGTCCTGCTTCTTTATGTAATAATGTCCGTAGCAGCTCAATAATTATGCTACTCGTGGCTATTGAGCTGGGAGTGTCGAGCAAAGGAGAATGCTCGTTCACTCAAGTCTTTCATTTCGTCACTAACCGGGCCTGATTATGCATTCTGACGACACATGGAGAACTGAAGCGGTATTGCATGTTGAACCGGACTTGGTATCACGCAGGTCCGTATCTGCTTTCATAGGCTATAGCCCGCTACCATCTGCTTACATCTGGGGTATCTCACAAATAAATGTAACAAAACGGGTCTCCCGAGAGGGTGTCCAGCAGGCTGCTGATGGGTCGCGGGACAGCATTGACGTTGACACTCAGATCGACGACATCATCCACAGTGGTGTTCCGGCTTGCGGGGCTGTTATTGATCGTCAATGTCCCCGCGGTGGTGTCAGCCTGGTCCAGGTGCAGCGCCTGCCAGATCCAGTAGACACGATCGACCATGCCGTGGTGCAGCCAGAACATGGGGTCGACAGGCGACGCGAACAAGTCCCCCGAGGTGCCGCCCATGGTGTTGTGGCCGGCCGTGTGGAGGCCGAGAAAGCCGTCCCCGAAGCGGCCTTGGAGTTCATTCTGGAAGAGGGCGATGCTGCCCGAAGCGTCGCCGACGGTGATGTTGAGCAGTTTCTCCAGCGTCAGCCACTCGTTCGCAACATAGGAGTTGAGGTCGCGGATCATGCAGTGAGGGTTGTAGGCCAGCGCGGAGGACGAGGCATTAAGCCCGTCCATTGTCGGCGTTACGGGGCCGAGGTTGATCACGTAGTCCGTGAAGGGACCGCTCGTCACGCAGCCGCCGCCCGTGCCTGATGGGATGTGCACCTTGCCCAGGGAGACGAGACTGCCGTTGTGCTGCACGAAGTAGCCATCGCCACCAAAACTAGTGTTGCTTCCGTCAAAGTAGGCCGATTCCTGCAAGCTGTCATGGTCTGCCAGCCAGTTCCAGTACTATGGGCTTGTCAATATCACAGGACCTGCGCTGGTATAGTGGTGAGGCTTACCGGTTGGGTGTCAGTGTACCCGCACTCCTCTGCCAATGCTGCCTCAAAACTACTCAAGAAGTATCGGTGCCATGTCAAGAAATTTCCCTGAAACGGTGTCAGTCAGCTCAATGTGATTGGTGCTCACTCCCGCTTACAGTGCCATGTATCGAAAGGGTCTAGTTGATGTGAACGGCAACGAAATCATCGTATCTCGTCCTCGCACCGGGGGCGAATGACGTATCGGCAATAGACGGTAGGGCCATGAAGCAGTTCATAGCACTGATATAATCCGTCTTTTCATTGGATGAGAAGGCGACCCTGCGAATGGACGGTCAGCCTCATTGAAAGTAGATGAGTTGCCTGGCAGGGGTGTGCTTCCTCGATGTAGCGGTAACGGTTGATAGCCAATAGGCCATTCAATTGAGACTGAGTGTCACAACAAAGGGATACGGCTGCAAGGCTCAAAGGGGCACGATATACTTACCAGTCTCTCCGTACTCGGGCATTGGAGATGTTGCAGCCCGTCGTGTTGCACCGAGCCTGGAGCGCGGCCACCGCCTGGTCGTTCAGGCTCTGCAGCTCGTCGCGAGCCTGCAAGGGCGAAGAAGCGACGAGAGGCAGGCCCAGAAGTGCAAACGAAGCGATGTTGAAGAGATGCATGGGAGATTTGTCCGTGGCGGTCGCGAGTCCCAATGATGAACCCAAGATCACAGTCGGGATGGATCAGCACAAGAAGAAGCGGCTCAGAGCGCCACATGGGGTTTACATATGACCTATCCTCATAACCCACGTGGAATAGATTCCAGTGTCCGGCCGCGTACTCGCAATCCGATAATGGACAAGCTCCAATCGCAGAGGTTCCGCCTCAGTTCCTACACCTCGGCCTTCCGATACCAAAAGCACCACGATACAGCCACTGATTAGTAGGGAGTGGCCAAGATGGAGTACGTCTAGACTCCTTTGATTCTGCGGCCCCATAACCTGGTCCCTGGACGTTCAGGGGATGCCTTTGTAATAATCAGGCAATTGCAAGGTTGCGAACAACCGGAGCAGCTGCTTCACGGCGCATTATACATGGTTCGTAATTGGGTTGCATTGCTAGCGGGTGGCGCACCGCATTCGACATGATGAACCAGATCGTGGGGATTTCTGGACCCAGGCAGCTGCCAGGCTTCACGGTTGGCCGTAGATGTCAGGTGTACATGTCTCATATTGATAGCCTCTCTTCCTCTGCGTGGTGTACGAGTATTATCCTTTTAACCTGTCTCGGATGGCATCCATCGGTGTCGTTTACGGCAGGCCTGTACATGCATAAATATGTACATACCGCCCCATCCTCAGGGATCCGGGTCGTCGGAAGCCTTGCCCCTATTAGGTTGACGCCGAGGACGGCTCGCCGGGAGTGGCCGCCCTGGGGGCCGTTGAGCTAATCCAACGTCTTGAAACACATTGTTGATTTGTCTCGGTTCAGGGATGTGTCTTCTGACGGCGCCCTGAGATTGGGAGAAGCTCCTCGAACTCTCCGCCTGAATTTCCCGCGAGGTATGCAACGATACATCTGAAGTCATAAAACATTACAATTTTATGAAGCGGAACCCATCAAGCCCATGATCAACAGTATCTGGGGTGCCAGCATCTCGTACGATATTCCTTGCACGTCAGCCTCTCCACTGCCCATACTCAGTCCACAGTATCGCTTGCTCATTACTATGATAGGCCCATGTCAATGTGGGCTACCAGGGCCACCTCGCGCAATGTGGACCACGATAAGAGACAAGTTGACAACCCGGGGTAGGGATGGAGTCTGAGAAACACAATACAACACATGTACTGTGTTGTGTTATGTTGTATTGTACTTTTCAATATCAACACGTGTGATTCCTGGTGGTGACGTATTTGTGACGGCCTGCACAGACCTTCCCACATGAAAAGCGGATACTTCCCAATAGGGGAAGGATCTGACCAGAGGATCCCCTTAGAGGGGCAACCTCCCACTGTACCTATCTCTCTCTCTCTCTTCCTTTCCTCTCTAGTCTTGATATTCTCGTTAATAGAGTAATAGCTGCTTGCTGCCTGCCATGTCCCAGCTCCTCAGTACGCTCGCCGTGACAGTATTGATCGGTACCTAGTAGTACCACGGACCACCATAGATATGGCTTGAAAATTGTCCGTGGCCGAGGGTTGACCCCTATGTAGCGGGCCGGAAGCCGGAATTACTCTAAACCAGGGTTCCGGAAATTATTCCGGCCCGAATAACACAACACGATACAACACGTGTTGTATGCGTGTGTTGTGTTGTATTGTACTTTTGGATAGAACACGGGTTTCTCCACCCCTAACCCGGGGGACGCCACAGGCTGTAAGGATTCGCGAAGTTTAGTTCCATGGGTCCAGACCAGAAAGCGGAGCATGTGCATTTCATGTAAGATCGTCGGCCTGGGAAGGGAAATGGAAGGAAAATCGTAATGTTCTACAGAATTTTAACAACCGTGCCCATGTAGTAACTTTAAAAAAGTAGGTCTCTAACCGCGTTCGGAAGCGATCCCCGCAATCAGCCAACCAGAGCTCACGTATCTAGCAGCGCAGCCTTAAACCTTAACACCACGTATCATCACCACTATCACCACCACGCGCGCGCACAAAGGACACATTCACAGATGGGGGTCTCGCACCGCCCCCCAAACCTCCGGCTAACTCTAACTACTAACCCTAACCACTAACTCTAATCCTCACCCTAATCCTAACCGACGTGGTTACCCGGCGAAATCATCCTAAGTACTTCTAGTTTGGTGAGAAACGCGCGCAAACGGAAGTACTTGCGATGTGGTAGGCGGTGCGCAGCCAATTGAATGGCTGGGATGACGTCCGGATCGGGTTAGAGACCTATTTTTTTAGGGAACAGGCCCTATTTTTTTAAAGTTACTGGTGCCCATGCTGCCACAAGCACGCGGCCTCCTGAATGATAATTTCTGGGATCTGCAGTTAATGTTTTTGTGCACCATCGTGGCGGAAACGGGAGGAGGGTTCATGGTTCCACGAATGGTTTATGTTGTGAAACGAAGACAATTGAGAAACCTGCCGGTCATGCATTGATTTCCAAGGTCTGGCCCGTGTGCAACTTTCCGGCGGCATAACGTATGAGGAATACATACATATGTACCTGGGAATACGGTCGTCGAGATTCATAGTTGAGCGGAATCGCTCCTCTTTCCTGGTACCTTTGATTCGATCTACAGCTGGACTGCCAAATCCAGAATCGCGGCTCAGCATGGTCGCGATGCCTTCCGCCGCTGGATCCGAGGAAGTCGACCCCGGCCGAGTGCAAGAGAGCAGTCTGGGTCTTATCATGGGCGTGTCATCGACGTTGCACGTCGTGGCTCTTATTGTCGTCGTACTGCGGTTGTACAGGCGGTTTGCCGTGGTTAAGTCTCCAGGAAGAGACGATGCGTTCATGGGCGCGGCGGCTATACGTTGACCTTAGAACACATTCCGACGAGAATGCACATCATGAAGTTGCTGACCAGTATCACCAGCTCTCCGCCGGGGGAGCGTTTATATGCTATCTCGTCCAGACCCAACACGGTCTCGGGACGCATATCGAATTTGTGTCAAAGCCTGACCAACTCGCATACGGCGCGGCATCTTTCGCAATGACAATAATCAACATCTTCGGTCTCGCTCTCCTGAAGATATCACTCGCTCTGTCGCTCTTGCGCCTCAGCACGGGGAAGACCTTCTCCAGGGTGCTATGGGCGACAATTAGTACAGAAAACCACCCCGTTGCAAGTCTGCTACCTGCTTGACTGACTTAATGTGCAGCCTTCGTGGCATTGTACAGCTTCTTCGCTTGGATGGCCCTCTTCTTATACTGCAAGCCGATGGAAGGGTTCTGGAACAAGTCAACCAAGCCCAGCTGTTACGATATCAAGTTGTTCATCAAGTTCGCCCTGGTTAACACAGGTCAGTCAGTCTCCTACCAGCAGTACTGGACCACAGAGCTCACCCTCTTCAGCCTTCAACATCTTCACGGATGTCGCGCTGGCGTCCCTGCCGGTCCCCATCATCTGGAACCTGCAACTCGAGCTCAAGACGCGGATATAGCTGATCATCGTCCTCGGCCTTGGATGGATCGCTGTTGGCCTAGGTGTAGTGAAGGCAATTTACCAGATTCAATTCGCCAATGTGGTCGACAAGACGTTCGAGCTCAACATCCAGTTCTGGGGATTGTGAGTTCTTGCCAACCCGGCCAGCGCCAGCAACCCCTTTTGCTAACCTTACAACTACTAGCCTCCAACTAAACGTCGGCCTCATAGTAGCCTGCGCACCGCAGCTCATGAAGCTGCTCAACCCCATTCTCAAGCTCTCGACAGAGCGTTACTACAATCCCTACAGAAGACGATCCCGGTCCCTCAAGAACATACTGGGCCCCGATAGCCTTAGCGGCGGATACATCAAGCAGGAGAGTAATGGGTCGCACAGCCTTGCCCAGGACGACGACCTCGAGTTGAACGAGCTGCCCATCATCGCTATGGACGCGTGCCATGCGAGCGCACACGGCGGTAGTGCGAAGGATGTTGAAGCCGGACTTGCAATCCCAAGGAAGACGCTTCTGCGCAAGCACACGGTGTCACAAAGGAGCCCGACAGAGCCGAGGCCGTCAGACAGCGATGAGTCGATTTTCGGGGGCGTCGTCGTTGACCCACGTACCAAGGGCATTCTGCGGACCACCGAGGTCATAGTTTCGTCTCGATAGCATTCGCATGCCGACATAACTCTATTCCCTTCATCCCATTAATGTTTATGTATGGCGTCATCAAAAGGACTGCTGGAATAAAACAGTCTCGCATGGCATCAAGGATCTGGACATGTTATTAGACAAAAGCGAGGCAGATATACCCACGATTACGACTGAGGAGGTACGATATATTGATGGAAATGATAGGGAGTACACGACATGAGCTACGATCATAATTAAACTTGCCGCTCGAAAGGCCTGATGACACCGCACCTCACACGAAGAGCCGAGTACAGCCCAGGTCCACAGATTGGCGTACCTGGCCTGGTGGCTATCAGACTCAGGAGTGAAACTTGCAATGCCGAAGTGACGGGTAATTAACATCCAGCCACGGATATTATGGCTATTCAAGAGCAGCCTTTGGGCGAGCTGCGTAGCATTGGCAGTGAATACCGATAGAGGCTAAATGAAGACGAATCGGTATATATACCAGACCGGTGTCAACATGACATGTTAAGTATATATCAGAGGAAGGCCACTTGCCGACTGCGGGTGCTATCCTCCAAACTCCCTCTTGAACCAGTTCGGGCCCCAGCGCATCTCCAGGCAAGAAGAGACCTTCCTTCCCCTTTCATCAAGAGGGCAACCCAAACGGAACCGCAACCAAAAGCACAGCCAGAACAAAAACCACCACCATGCCTAACTCCCCCACCGCAAGAGCAACCCTCCCCTTACTCCTCCTCCTAGCAGCAGCCGCCCCAAAAGCAGCGCCAGCGCCCAACCACCAACACCATTACCATCCCGCCCGCCAATCCACCAACACCACCAGCACCTGCACCACCCTCTCCACCCAGAGCCTGGGCAACTACTGGCAAATCACCAACGCCCGGTCGTCCGACTGGCCGGGCGGCGGCAGCGGCCGCGTCGAGCTCTTCGCCCTCCACGTGCCAACGGCCGAGACGTCGTCGTGCGATGTCGAGTACCAGCTCGAGACGGCTGCTGACGGAGGCGCCGTCATCGTCAACTTCGACCCGGCCGCCGTGCACGCGTGCGTCATCTTCGGCGCCGGCGCCTCCAACACGAGCGTCCAGCTCGATCTCGCGGCGCTGCGGCTGACGGTGCGCACGAGGTGGGTCTGCGAGGGCGAGAGCGATGGCGACGGCACGAACACAACGCGCTTGTGGAGTGCCGTGGGGACGGCCGACCTAATGCGCGATGAGGCGCCCGATGCGTGTCTAGTGGATCCGACGCAAGTGGGGAACGCGACGACCTGTGCCATCTCTGATATGGTCGTCGAGAGGGGAACTTGCGGAATAGCTGTAGGGGAAGGAGGCGGCGGTATGTGCCGAGGCTCGCGTTCTTGAGGAATGCTGCCGGTGCTCGAAGCTGATCACGACTGGACTGCAGTGGCTCGTTCCCGGAGTCTAAAACCTAGTACATTCCAGACTACACAGGCTGGGTTATCACCGGAGAACCAGTTCACGAGAATTAGGCTTCTCGTGGTGTTCATATTCTTTATTCTTCGCGTAGCTATGTTACGTAGCTAGAGACCTGCGTGCTTAGCACCACCATCTATCTAGAAGACGATGTTCGGGCACCGACTGTCTCGCCCGATCCGAGTATGGGTTCGTGCCTCCACCGACTAAGCAAAGTCGGCCGACATCATGTGGCCGCGTCGGCCCGATGACTCGGCGCAGTTGTGGAAATGCGCTTTCGCGGTCGTGCAACGCGTCTACGGACTTTCCTGTCGGCTCGGGTGCTTCTGGAGATAACAAGACAAGACTCAAACTGTCGTGCCAACTCGAACTCTAGAAGGTGGCTGTCGATCTATGAGTTGGCCTCTTTGCTTTCCTCCCGTATACTCTTGAGCTGACGTTCGAAGTCCTTGTTGATCCATTCCCAGTACGCCTGCCATCCAGGATTCTGTACTGCTTGCTGAGCCTGGGCCTGGGCACCGGCGGCTCCCGGCGCATTGCTTGGTCCAGGGAGCGTAGTCTTGGTCTTGTCAGCCAGGAGCAGAGAAACACGCAAAACACCCTTGTTGGCTTCCTCTTGCTTCTCCACCTCTTGCTTCACAGCATTCTCCTTAAGTTTTGTTGATAAAGTCCTTCTGTAGCATTCGGCGATGGTGTCAAGGCGGCGTGTTGTCTCCTCAGGGTCGATGACAATCAACTTGCTGAGCATGAGATTGCACAAGGATCGAATGTCATTGTCGTCACCGAGACCAGCTACAATGCGGTCGTAGAACTCAAGGGTGCTAATGCGAGAGAATGCCGTCTCCATCAGAGCATACAAAGTCTCATATGCACTCTAGTAAAACAGTCAGCATGAAAACCATGATGCAGGACAATTGCAGAGCGCCACTAACCTTGCGGACTTCTAGCCCGTCGTCGACAGTGTGCTTGAAAGGGCCCATTTGAACCTCGCGAATAAGCTCCGGCTTGATAATGGATTCCGTCATGATGTAGGGCGTCAGCTGGCCAAGATGCGGCAGAACTAGCTCAGGCTTGTTGTGGGTGGCCGAATTTAACGTTGTCATGCCCAAGCGACGAATCTCCAACTTGCTGTCCTTCAATACCGTCAATATCATGTCAAATAAGACTGTCTTCAGTTCTGCATCGAACGCTTCATCACTGTCTGGTAGTGTATATCTGAGGGCTTGGACAGCCACGGCTCTGTATCTCTCAACAGGGCTCTTGAGAAGTTCCTGTGTTCATCAGTATCCACAGCATCTCACTGGAATTCTCCAGAAGAAACTTACCTGAAGCTTAGGGATATAGGTCTTCGGCTTCAGTATAGCCAATCGGCCGATGCACTCGGCACAGATAGCCTTGTTATCTTCAGCTTGAGAAGCCGAAAAGAGGAGCTCCCATATCACGCCCTCGTACGCGCTGATGTCAGTCGACGAAGAGACGACTTGGTGGAGGATCTCTCGGATCGACTGCAAAAGAAGATACTGCTGACTGCCAGATCCCACGATAGCATCCAGGATGACTGGGAGGAACACGGGAATGTTGCCTGCACCCGCACGCCCTAGGGCCACCGCAGCGGATACCGAAACTTTGTCGGGTTCGTCGTGAAATTGCTTCAAGAAAATGTCGGGCTTGAGCGGGGATTTGGTGCCGAGTCGGAGGCCAATCTCGCCAAGGATCGCGAGTGCCAGGCTTTGCCGGGATGTGTCTGGTGGTGATAGCCTGCTCGACGCATTGAGTTCATTGACGAAACTGTTGACGTCCACGCCAGACTGACTACCGCTAGCAACAAACAAGGCACCAGCGACCTTGCCGACGACTGACGGATCGCCGCCTACGCCAACCTGCAAGACTCCCCCCATGAGAGATTCACCCTCGCCGCTTTGGCCGACGTTGGTCACAAGTGTGATTAGGGACTCCAGTGCGATGCCAGCAATGCTCTTCTTGAGTAAGTCGCAAATGGCCTCAATGAAACTCGGCGTCAGGGTCAACTTGGGGTTCTCGAGCTGCAGTTGGGCGATAATGAGCAGAGCAGGACTCAGGAGTTGGCTGTCACTAGCAGCAACAACGGGCAGAATAGCTGCCACAATCCCGTTGATCACGTCTGTTTGTAGTTGTCCCTTCGTCGCTGGACATGTGATAAGGTGGTGGAGGGCCTGAATGCTGGCACCCCGAAGCGCGCGATTAGCCTTACGAAGCTGTCCGCACAGCTCCACGGCAACCGGCTGAACCCAGGCGCTGTCGAGGCTATCAGGGACGGAAGAAAGCAGTGCAACACTGTCGATAGCTCGCACGGCATGGAGTCGGGTGGTCTCGTTACGCAGACGATCCAGGAGCAGGTCCAAACCAGCCTGGCGCTTCTCAGCCGGCAACAAGGCAAGCCCGTCGGGAGTCGAGGTCCTGGCAATCAGTGTGCCAAGCGCCTGGATGGCTTTCTGGCGCACCTCCGTGTCGGCATCATTCGCCGACGCACGATCAATCATGATCTCGTATAGCTTGAGCAGTTCAGGCTTATACTTCTGAGTCGTGAGTCGAGCGCGTGGTGGCGTGATGGCTTTGACAAGCTCCTCCGCTGTCTTGATGGCCTCGCTGGAGATCTTGTAGAATCTGTCCTGTACAGCAGAGACGACTCCAGTAACAATGCTTGACAGGTACGGCTGGAACAGGCTAGACGAGTGTGTCTTCGCTATGTCACTGGTGAAGTGAAGCACCGCCACGCGGAGGGTAGTGGCGGTTGCCGAAGCAGCACCGCCAGAGAGAGCAGTCGACGTCGACCCGGCGGTGCCGGTCATTCCCTTGGTGACATCGATTATGGGCTGCATGACCTGGTCGAAGTATTCAGACAGGCCACCGTTCTGAACCGAGATCAGATCGTCCAAGAGGTTGATAATGGCTTGCTTGGTGGCAATTTGCTTCCCTTTCAGGAGCTTTGTCGCAGTCTTGGCGATCTGGGGGGTCAGCTTGGAAAGATCTGCTCGGGGTCCAGTCGAAGGCAGCGACTCCTGCGTCGGCGAAGTGAGGCCAGTTGCTGCCTGGAATGGAGCTTTGTGGGTTAGTGTAAATCCACCGCTGCTCTGTCTGCGGCGTTTTCTACTCCCCCCAAGAGATTGCAGTAGCTCATCATCCAAGGAGACCGAGCGTATGACGCCTTCGCCCGTCTTGCGAATCAGTAGAGCCATCGTAGCGATGACTTCCAGGCGAACACTCTCTTCCCGTTCATCAAATCGCTTGACCAAGGGTAAAGCCACTTCGTTGTAAAGGGTTCCCTTGTCAAGCAGGTCGCTGCTGCGGGTCGAGATGAGGGTGTAGAGCGTCTTCGCAGCACATCTTCGAACCTTCCAGCTCGCATCATCATCGTCGTCATCGAAGCCGCCATCATCTTCATATTCATCATCATCATCCAGCTCGTCGTCCTCATCCGCGTCTTCATCTACTTCCATGTCTTCATCGTCGTCAACTGCGTAATTGGGATCGAACTTGAGATATCTCAAGCAAGCCGAAATGGTCTCGTCGGTGAATTGGCGCATCTGAACGCCGCAGGAGGCGACAAACGAATCAAGGGCGACCAAGGCGACTTCTCGTACCTCATTGAACTCGGTGTTGTGATCGTCGCCTTCACTAACAGCATCCAACTGCTTCTGTAACTCTTCCTGGCCAAGTGTCGCAAAGACGAAGGGAACAAGGTCAGGTAGGTGCACGCCAAACTTATGGGGAATGGCCCTGGCAAGAGACCCCATGATGGTGATGTAGAGGCGATGCATGACTGGTGTGAGCTTTGGCTGCTGCATGGCCTTTTTGATTCTGTTGACAAACCCACTGAGCACCTCGTCTGTCAGGTACGGAGCCAAGATCGCCAAAGCAACAACTGCTCTCTTCTTGACTGGTGATGGGGTGCTCGGTCGCTCCAAGACTTGTACAACCACATCCTGCAGCTTCTCGATCTCCAGCGGCTGCAACAGAGGGCCGAAGCAGCGAACAACCTCGATCAGCACGTCAACAGCTTCGGGGCTGGGGTCCGCCTTGTCCAAAAGGCCATTTGGGTCGCCGCGTGCCTGCTTATGGGCGTTGGCTGGTATCGAATAACCGAGGATACGTGGGATAAGCACTCGACTGATGACATTATATGTGTCGATGACTTCTCGTGTCGGCGCAATGCCCCGGACGGGCTTTTGCAGTGAGGATATGGCATTTCGGAGGGCCAAAGAGGGCAGGGAGTTGTCTACCGAGTTCTGGATTTCAATCATAGTGAGTTTCTCCAGTGTAGGCGAGACAACCGTGATCGGGATCTTGGAGACCATGGGGCCAATGCTACGCAAGTATTAGCGCCGTGGACGTCTCGTGGGGTATGGGGAAGACTATCTACGTACCACTTGACGGCCAAGTTCTGCACCTCTCCATTCTGGTCGTCCAGGGCCTTAATGACAGCATCGACGGTACGGGATGAAGTGTTGTAGTCGTGGGCGAGGAACTCGAGCTTGGGCCTCGTTAGGATCTGGTGAAGATCATTCAAGGACATAAACCGGAAGTCGGGATCCGGGTCGCTCAGTTTGTTCAGGAGCTGGGTGATGGTCGCGGCGTTAGGGTTCGCGACGTTCGCCATGATGGTGGTCGTCGGGCAGAAGACGGGTCACCTGCCGGAAAGGTTGTGATCGAAGGTATTTGTAGACGGCCAGATGGCACTTTTCTGCAGCTTAGAGATAAGTCAGTACGGCTTGCGACTCTAATAAAGGGAGCATCACAGGAAAGACGAATGTCCCTTGACAGATCCGGTGCGGCAGAAAGATGGGCTTCTTGTTTAGGCGTACTTTGAGAATGTGCCTGTACTTATGTGGAGGCAGCACAGAAGCTATGGGTTGACGCCTGCGCAACAAGAACAGAGAGGATCTTCCCTGCCAGCTTGTCAGTGAGTTGTCTATTGCTGTCCTGGATGTGCAGCCGAGTGGTCAGGCAACACGATCAGAGGTACAGAACGAAGCGGAAGCGAGGCGACAGGACGTACGTACCACCAAAGGCAATGCAGAAAGACACAAGTAATGGAATGATCGACCTCCTCCGTGCTCAGTTCATGCTTCAGGCCGTTTCATCGATTGGCGACAGGCAGAAGACCCAGATGTGATAATGGAATGGAAGGCGGTGGTGATGGTCGTGGATGGCGGTGGTGGGGTCAAGTCAAGTTGGGTGGCAGCCTCATCGCAGCTGCGACCGGAGTTGACGGGTTGGTGGGGTTCAGAATACACAACCCTTGTACTGGTGGCTGGTGTGAGCAAGCGTGCACCGCCACACTCAGGGGCTCAGGGACTCAGGGGCTCAGGGGCTCAGAGGCTTTCAGACATGTAAATTCGATCGTATCGTAGTCTTCTTTAATGTGAATGTACTGCTATAATTAAGACTGACTAATTAAATAGATTTATTTTACCTTAAACTTTAAAACGTCTAATTTTATAATTAACGTAGTCTTTTTTTAATGCGTATATTGTTATAATTGTGACGGCCTGCACAGACCTTCCTACATGACAAGTGGATACTTCCCAATAGGGGAAGGATCTGACCAGAGGATCCCCTTAAAGGGGCAACCTCCCACTGTACCTATTTCTCTCTCTCTCTTCCTTTCTTCTCTAGTCTTGATATTCTCGTCAATAGAGTAATAGCTGCTTGCTGCCTGCCATGTCCCAGCTCCTTAGTATGCTCGCCGTGACAATGATTAAAACTTATTAATTAAATAGATCTATTCTACTTTAAACTTTAAAACGTTTATTTTAATAATTAAATAATTATTAACCATGTTTAAAAGAAATTTATATAAAAACTATATATATATATAAATCCATTTAGCCGTTAAACGTAAGAATTAATAAAATCTTCAATTATATTGCCGTTAAGAAAATTAATTAAAAGTGTAAGAATAAAACACATATGCGCGTTATAGCTATATAATTACAACGTAACTACCGTTACATAATACACAACCAATACTGATAAACGAGAGCCGCTTTTTAAAGAAAAACGGCGGCGCTTAGCTTGTCACGTCGAGCATACTGAGGAGCTGGGACATGGCAGGCAGCAAGCAGCTATTACTCTATTGACGAGAATATCAAGATTAGAAAAGAAAGGAAGAGAGAGAGAGATATAGGTACAGTGAGAGGTTGCCCCTTTAAGGGGATCCTCTGGTCAGATCCTTCCCCTATTGGGGAGTATCCACTTGTCATGTGGGAAGGTCTGTGCAGGCCGTCACATAGCTTGCTACAAAGCAGGATTATAAATAGTACCTGTTTTAAAGTGGTAATACCATCTGTTTGTAAGATTATTTAAATGGTCGTGCCTTCTTTGTACCAGCCCTTTCTGTATATATTAATACGTTAGCCTTTACTTTTTGAAGCGAGTTAAGTGGTATAAATAATACCTGTTTTAAAATAATAATATTATTTATATAATATAAGCTTCAAAACGAAAAACGAATAAAAAACTTATCGTTTATTTTTAACTCTTTACATTAACCGTTTTTCATCGCTTAAAATCTTACGATTGAATTAATTCGAAAATTATTAACCCCGCTTTGACGCTAGGTTTTATATAGTTGAAATACCCGGCTTTTAACTAGCTAGATGTTTTTTAATTAGGTAGTTAATTATTATTTAATTATTAAACTAACTAGCATTGATCTTTTCTTATAATATATAGCGGCGATTTAATTAACGCTAGTTTTTATATAGTTACGATACCTGCTTTTATATTAGCTAGCTAACTAGTTCCTTAATCTTAACTAGCTTTCACTTTTTAATCACCGAGTGATTTCTTGACTATTTAGTTATTTATATTTATATAACTTGCTAGCTAGTTTTTAATTTTATTTATAATATATAGCGGCGATTTAATTAACGCTGAAGCTTATAATTTAAATTTAGTATTAAATCTCATATATATGTATAACTATAGGTAGTTATATATAGCTACCTTGCGTAAAAACCACGCTATTTTTAACCTTTTAACTACTTAGTTTTAAAATTTTCATATAAATAGTTTTATTTTAATTCGAAGAAATTTTTTTTAAAGTGGCGGTTAAATTAACTCAGTAGCTTAAAGGCTTCTAAAAATATATAGCGGTACAATAAATTAATCGGCTACGTTTAAAATATTTTAATGTCTTTTAATATTAATACAAGTGATTTTAATGTAATAATTTTAAAACATATAACGTAGCTGACAAGCGAGTTGACATTACAAGCGAGTTGGCACTCGTCATGAACTTTCCAACCAATACGATTCAAACCATCATATCTCCACCAATAACAATGGCACCTCGTTATAACGAATCAGACTTGCAGCTAGCTGTTCAAGCTAAATGACGTGACCCTCATATTCCTATATTTCAGCTTGCGAAACTCTTCAACGTCCCTCGTTCCACTTTGAGCAATAGAGTCAAAGGAATGCCATCACGACGCGACAGCATGCCCAATACTTTGAAACTTATGGTTTCCGAAGAGAATGCTATTTGTTCCTTCATTCTCGACCTGGATGCGCAAGCATTTCTGCCCCGGTACAGTTATATTGAAGATATGGCGAATCAATTGTTGGCGGCGCGTAGGGCTGGACGCGTTGGAAAGAACTGGACGCGGAACTTCATCAAACGTACACCAGGCCTCCGGACGCATTTTCATCGGAAGATAGACTACCAGAGGGTCTTGAACAAGGATCCAGACGCGTATCGCGCGTGGTTTTGCCAAGTTGCAGCGGCAGTCGCGAAACATGGTATCCAAGACGCGGATATTTACAACTTTGACGAGACTGGGTTTATGATAGGCATTATTGGGTCCGGCATGGTCGTTACAAGCGCCGAAAGACGTGGCAGGCCTAGACAAGCTCAGCAAGGCAACAAGGAATGGTCTACAGCAATCTCTGCTGTTAATGCTGATGGTTGGGTGGTCCCGCCGTTCATCATTCTACAGGGCAAAACCCACCTCGCGTCATGGTATCGCGACACGATATTACCACGCGATTAGAAAGTGGTCGTGTCCGACAACGGGTGGACCACGAATGAGATTGGTTTGGAATGGATTCAGCATTTTGACAAGTATACCAGACCGCGTATGACTGCCGGTAAACGCCTCCTCATCCTAGATGGTCACGAAAGCCACCATTCCCAGGTCTTTGAGGATTATTGTCAGAACAATGGCATTATCACCCTTTGTATGCCTGCCCACTCGTCACACAGGCTCCAGCCTCTAGATGTCGGCTGTTTTAGCCCGCTCAAACGAGCTTACGGTCGCATGATTGAGGATCTCATCCGGCGTCATATAACACACGTTTCGAAGGAGGACTTCTTTGCAGCGTTTTGTGAAGCACACAACGCTGCTATGACGCCAGGAAATATTCGAGCAGGTTTCAGTGCCACTGGGCTTGTTCCTTTTGACCCAGAAAGTGTCATTTCAAAGCTGGATGCTGTCGCTGTCGTACGAACACCGTCGCCAGACCCCAATCTGCCACCCACTACTTGGACTTCGAAGACGCCTACCACCATTAACGAAGCGGTAAACCAATCGGTTTATATCCGAAACCGAGTCAGAAACCACCAGGGAAGCTCACCTACATCAATAGTTGATGCGTTGAGCTCGTTTTCGAAGGCTACATACGGTCTTATGCATAAGGTCGCTTTGGTTGATTCCCGGGTCCGCGAACTAGAAGAGGCTAATCACCTACTAAGTAAACGCCAGAGAACAAAAAACAAACGTCTAGTGAAAAGAGGAGTACTTTCTGTTGAAAATACAGTAGATCTTCAGGCTGCAAAGGATGGTGCTGAGCTGGCAAAACAGGAAATGGGTGAAGGTAGTCGTCGTCCGAGGCGGGCAGCAGCGCGTGGGCAACAATGTGGCGTTTGCGGCAATACTGGCCATAATGCGCGAACTTGTACAATAGAGATAGAAACCTCTGAGGAAGAGGAATCCGATTGATTGAATTGAACTGAATGCGTTGTGGTGAAGTTATTTGACATGGCAGTTGGAGAGTTCGTGACGAGTGTCAACTCGCTTGTAATGTCAACTCGCTTGTCAGCTATGTTAATAGCTTTTTATTATAAAGTAAATTAACGTAATTATAACGTTTATTTATTTTTTGATTTAAATTACATATCACGTTTTAGCCTATCCGATTAATAAATAACGATTTTCTTAATTTTTAGTTTTTTATTTTATAAATATTTAATTTTTTTAAAACCCTTTTTTTTGGCTTACTTTCTACGTTTTAAAAACGCAACGTAAAGCTTTTGTTGGAACAGGCTTGAACGATCAATCATAATACTCGAGTATGGGGTCAAGGTCATAATGTTGCTGATGGTTGGATTGAGAGGAATCTAGCTGGACTCGAAGGTCTGGCCAAGTGCCCTCTCAATCCACTATCTTATCTTATCTAATCATACATATGGGTCCTGGTATAGATGGTTTGCAGTATGGAATCGCATGGATCCAACACAGGATACTCTTTCTTTCATGGTTGCGATTCCATCAAACTGTCTTTCTAGGTGATCTCAACGCTGAACCCAGCCTTCAACTCGAACCGTTGTCTTGTTATTAGAAACAAGACTATGAAGAGCTTTATTTGGAGACGATT